AGAATGGATGGAAACTTACAGGTTCGTTGGTGACGACTTCTCCCATCTTTAATTTCTCACTATTAACCCCGTTTAAATAGGGATGTTCGTGCATTTCCAATCCTAACCCATGACCCAATCTATGTGTAAAGAATTCTCCATATCCCTTTTCTCGAATCACATCTCTAGCCGCCTCATCCACAAGCGAACACGTCTCGTTAATATTCATCCGTTCGATTGCTGCCGATTGCGCAGCATGTACCAAATGCCAAATATCCATTAACTCCTGACTAACAGTAGATTTCGGGGGCAGAATAGTGCGAGTCACGTCGCTACCGTAGGAATGTAGAGAAGTGCCGATATCTACGAGGACGAATTCTCCATCTTGGAGAATACGTCCTTTACCACCACCGTGCGGATTCGCGGCCTGTTCTCCAAAAAGTATGATAGACCAGAATCCAGATCCGACACCTGCTTGAGTAAAAAGTGCCGAAGCAGCTTCGACTATTGTTTCTTGACTCATGCCTACCAGAATACACGATTGTAAACTCCTCACCAACTCCACCGTAAACTCATTAACCCCCCTCAAAATATCCAGCTCTTTATCGCTTTTCACAGCCCTCAAAGACTGGATATCTTGACTCGTAGGTAAAACCTCAACCCCATTTGCCTGAAGCCCCGCCGCAATCATGAACCGCGCATGTTCATCCAACATAATCTTCCCATATCCCGTCCTCTTAACCAACACATCATAAGGCGATTCCTCTTCCTTCCATTCAATAAGAGTCACCCCCTCAAATACCATCTCCAACGCCCCAATCCTCCCCATCTCAAACTTCGGCACCAACAACGACGCACCCCCACTCTTATCCAAAATAACCAAAAAAGGCCTCTCGGAAAGTTCAAACGAAGAAGAAATATTAGCAAAATACGCCGTGGAAGCCGAAGGTTCAGCAATAAACGCATCCACGCCCGCCTTTTCCAACGCATCAGCTAGTACCGATTGACGCTGTAGATATTCCTGTTGAGCGATAGGTTCTACATCTAGAAGAGACGTATATTGTTGTAGAGAGCCCCAGGCGCATTCTTGTAGAGAGGGGGATGTAAGTCGAGGGTTTGGATCAATGAAAAATGGATGGGGGGGTATGAAATAGTTGAACACCACTGCAATACACATGACACATGTGAGAAGCAGGAGAAATGCCTTGTAATCTATGCAACATCGTCGTTTGTTTCTTGATTTTGAGGGGGGTGGTGTGATGCGCGTGGGGAGGAGGGCTTCTCTGATCTCTTTTTCGGGTGTCATATTGTGTGGTGTGAGGTTTAATTGGGGATGTATCCGGGATGTGGTGATGCTTAAGAGAGGGCTGTTTGTGGCCTGTGGTTCAGATGGCGACTGAGGGGGGCCCGGAGTAGGGATAATATCTTCAATATGTGTGGTCTCAGTCTCAATTGACGAATGGCAGGAGAAAGTCACTTTGTTGATAGACCTTACATTACTTCTCCGTTGTGTTGTTGGAAGGTGATGATGGAATTATGGAAGCCTTACCTAGTAAAAAGATAACCTTGAAAGACAAACGAGGGGCCGTGCATGACCTAGTTTCAACCATTGAACAGAGGTTGGCTGTGCAGCAAATTTAAGGCACATACATATATCAATACAAGGAGCAATTCAGATTCTATTAACATCTCTGTATTTGTATATTAACTTAGAAAAGAGCAGTATAAACAAAGATTTCGTCTTTTCTAACACAAAAAAGGTATTATGCTCGATAAATCTCTTCTTTGTATCCAAAGAATTCTAGTACGAGTCAAATGCCATCTCCCTTTCTTCTTCAGTTGCTACCATAAACGCCCATTCACAAGCCATGTATACCAAGATTGTGACTACATGAAAGTCTTTACGTTTCAAGCAACGCGTTGACTCCAGGTTCGCTAGAAACGTAGATAACATCATGACTATCTGTGAAACCGTTGAATCTCGTTGCTGAACACTTGGTGTATGCACCCATGTTCTCAAAGTAGAGCCAGTCTCCGACATCAAGATTGTGATCAAAACGGATGCTTGCTGAGATACGATCGATACCGTCGCAGGTTGGACCCCAAATTGAGTATTCAGTGCCTTCGGGGGTTTCGTAACTTGCCCGAGTGTCGAAGTAAGAGCAGTTGCCAGTACGAAGGACTTGAGCAATAGGGGTTTGATGGTCAAACATGATGCTAGAGAAATTGCCATAAAGTCCATCGTTTAGATAAAGCATATAGCTCTTCTCCAATGATACTGGATCTTCAACAGTTCGACGCGCAATGACATTGCACGCAAGAGTGAAGGCGTTGGCAACATAGTAACGTCCGGGCTCTCCGATAATCTTGATATGCTTTGGCATATATTCCTCAAGGGCATCACCAAGAGCTGCCGCCATTTTTTCAAACGTCTCGGTGCAGAAACCCCCACCGACATCAAGAGTGTGCATATAGTATCCATAAGTGCGAGCTTGCTCGAAGACGGTGTGAGCATCTTGAACTGCCTTTCTAAATGCGAGGGGGTCGGAGGCACCGGATCCCACGTGAAAGCTAACGCCGACAACGTTGAGGTCAAGTTCTCTGGCCAGAGCAAGAAGATCGCTTGTTGCATCCATGGCTGCTCCAAATTTCAAGCTCAATCGGCACAAGCTCGATGAGTCGTCTGTAGAGATTCGAAGGAATAGTTCAGCTCCCGGGAATAGTTTTTTGATTTTGTGCAACTCATCGCCGTTGTCAAATGTCATCTGCTTGACTCCTTGCTTCTCGGCATATCGGACGTAGGAATTGGTCTTGCATGGTTGAGCATAAATGATACGAGTAGGATCAATGCCCAACTTGAGGACTTGCTCTATCTCGCCCTTGGAAGCACAATCGAATCCTGTGCCAAGTTCTGCCAAGAGACGGATGACTTGTGGGTCTGGATTGCATTTGACCGCTGTTCAGAAGTTAGCAAATTTTCATCCGATTTATGTGTGAATGTAAAAGACGGACCATAGAAGGGCTTGACTCTAGGTAGGTTTTTCTTCCATCTCATGTGCTGTCTGTAAACCTCGCCTAGATCAGCTACGAAGAACGCATCTTCGTCATCTGCTTCGCAGACATCATTATCAATATTTTCCACCCTTTGCTTCAAAGCGTTTCCAATTACATTTTTGGGGGTATTCACGCCATTGAGTTCAATGTAAGAATCCTTAGGATAGTATGATTGTATACTATCAAAATTGTTGTTGTCTTCGTGGGTAACAATGGCGGAAGGTGACATATCCTCGTATGTAATCAAGGATTGTTTAATAATTTGTGGTTTTTTGACTAGTAAATGTCAGTATTGCCAAGAGAATGTCAAAATGTAGCCAAGAAATGCCAGCGGGTGATCAAACATACTTGTACTTCGAAGGTCCAAGGGGATATTATGGGGGTCTATAACGATCAGATCCTGTGCTGATCTGGCGAGGTCGGCTCGACTCTTCCTCTCCGAGAGGAAGGCCCTCTAAACTCGTGCTATGCGGCAGCTGAGGAGTATCGGACGAAGACGGGGTGTTGTTAAACAACTCGTAAATCAAACGCTCAAGCTGTTTAAATTGCAGCAAAAGGAGGTGGTGTGGTGTTGATGATGTGCCGGTTAGGAAGTTCGGAGTAATCTTGATCAGAAACCAATGTCGCGGCCGTTGGAGCCGTACTGGATGTTTCGCCCTTGATTAGACCAAAGGCAGTCGCGAGGGAATTTTAGTTCTTCGATATGCGAAGATCTGTGGGTGAGGCATTAGCAACAGTGTCATGAAATCCCGCATCTCTACGGTCTGTGACATGTGGAGGGGCTTGAGAGAATGTCTTGAAAAATAGCTCTGACCCTCGGTATATACCTGAGATGGCAAAATGGAAATGGAAAATGCATTTCCATCCATTCTCTCCAAAAGAACAGATTTTTCATGGGGCGGGGTAAAAAGCTCACTCACCAGGACAAATTTATCAATATAGTCCAAACAGAGACAGAGACTTTTATTCGTGTGCTGGTTTATTTGAGAATGAAGATACAAGTAGCAGATAGTTAAGATCCAGCACAATAAGTGGCAACTATATTCCACTCTCTAAGTTATGTATAAGGAGTAGAACTCGAGCACCGGGTAGGTTGTAGAAGTTGGTGACCAGGTGTTCTAGGTTCATTGAGGTTTGGCGGTCAATACTTTTAAGTACTTGTTTACTTCGAGTCTCCGACCTTCTTTTTGGCTGTTTACAGTAAAATTTGTAAATTTGTATTACGCTAACCCTAACGTGGTCTAGTTAACCTATCCCCAGTAAATACCTCAATTATTTTATTTCTCCCAAACCCCAAACCCCAACTTGAACCTGGATAAAGGGAAAGGGAAAGATGGGGATGACCAACGCAAATAAGATGTTACGTTCAGTTTATATTACAGTATATTCAATTTATATTCAATTTTGATTTTCATTACTCTTTATCCTATTTAGGATAAATGTAATGATAGAGGTTGAGAGCCGGGCCAATCCCACTTTTATTTTGTAGTTGTTACCATTATCTTCAGGCACCAATGACGTATTATTATATAAATTATGAACTTTTTATGCCCCTCTTTTCTATAATTACAACCACAACCCATCACCCAAACCACGATCATGACCACGATCATGACCACGACCATATATAACCACGACCACATATAACCATGATCACAATAACCAACCGGGTAATAAAGGACATGAGTCGGTCAGTCAAGGATCTTTTGGGCTATTTTTCGTTTCACTTCTTGATAGTGTACATATGTTATACAGCATGAGGAAGTATTTAAAAAGTAAATCAACAAGGTAAACAAAAGGTAATCAATCATGTATATATGAACGGTTGTAAACTTCCGAAACGCTCCAGGTCAGCGGTAGGAACCGGTACATCATACACTACCGGTAGTCCAAGTCATATATTACATTACACTACCGAGACTTGAAGATCTACGTAGCTACGCGTTCACCTCCACGGTTTTCTCGCCCACTCTTTGACCCCTTCATCGACCACCAACCAATATTCAAATATCCCTCAGGTAATACCACATAATCTAGGATCACTCACATAGCTCGAAATTTCCACTCTTTGCTTCTACAGCATGTCCTCACATCTTTAGTCCGAGATCCCATATCTCCGGGACCACAGATCTGAAATAAGATGGAACCATCAAGCCTTAACTCACGACATAAATGTCTGGTTATACACTAAATGTTGATCTTGCGCTAGTCTTCTCAAAGGAAAACGTGACTTGTGATCTAACAGCCATCAAAATTGGCTGCAGACGTGTTTATCTGTTCGTAGCGCGAAGGGAAAATGGAAAAGAAAACGAAAGAAATATAAAACTTACCTAAGGTTTAAAGATGTTGACTTGATTCATCAGAGTAAACATGATTGATATCGAAAGGTAATATGTCATTGCTCATTATATGCTAACCAGATGCCTGTCATCGAGACATCATTGATCCTCATCTCTACCTATCTTACATACCATTCAATCATTAATATTGTACAGCCCAAACGCGAAAATATGCAGCTGAGTGGAACACAGTATGTTACAGACCTGCAGGTTCTATGATCCGAAAGCGGCGTTCTTGACGTCTTCTTCGTCCATGACCTCGGGTTGTTCTTGGGCGAGCCCCAAGTTCTTGGTTTCCCAACTGCCATCGACCCATGGTTTTTGTTCGCCGAGGAAAACCATATTACCTTGATTGTTCTCTAATGCATCAACGAGGTATTTCTGCGCAACAGTCTGGACTTGCTCTTTCGTCACGTCTAACAAGCGCTCACGTCGTTCTTGAACCATCTCTTCAGATACACCGGATACGAATCTCGACATGCCCTCTTGACTGACTGATTGAGGTGCGTCGACACTTTGGAATACAGACAACTTGGCTTCTTCGAGGTCTCGTTCCGCCCACTCTTTTTGAACTGCCCATTTACCAGCGTTGCTCATAATCGACATCGTATTTTGAGGGTTTGGATCACGATAGGAGTAAAATCCAAAGATTCCATCAAGTCCCCGCGAGTAAGCTCCTCCACCATAAGCCCCACCCTTTTCGCGGATCTCATGGTGTAGATGCTTATGAGTTAAAAGCTGGGAAAGTATTTGAAGAGGAGCTCCAGCAGGAGAAGTGTATGAGACAGTAGGAAGAGCAAGCCCGCCATAGTATACTTGATATGGCAAAGGGAAAAATGTTTTGGTGTTTCTGGTGAAATCTGGGGGAGGAACGTGCCGAGACGGTAATTCAGATCTTGGAATTGATGATAAGAATTTTTGAAGCGCGGCTTCGTTGCCCGTGACACTTTCACTGCCACACGTGAGGGCAGTTCGGAAGGTGGATGATCCAGAGAATGCGAGTCGTTGAATTGTTTTGAGTTTGTCGATAACGTCAGCTAGTCCTTCGGCCTCCGGTCTTGAAGCAAGAGAGGTGATGAGCTTGACTTGAGATAATCCTCCCACTTGTTCCATCAACCGCCCATATCGTGTCACACCAGCTTCAGCATAACCTCTGGCGTATACATGCCCCGATGAAGCGATATTGTTGACTGCACCATCTGCCGAACCTTGCAAAAGCTGGCGAATGCGAAGTTCGGCATCGACGCTGTCAAAATCGGTTTCAAGAACTAGTTTTCGCAACAATCCAAACATGTCAGGTACGTTGCGATCCAAGGCAGTCCCGGAAAAGCTCAAGCCCTCAGACGCTGATTTGAAATCTGTAGGTGACGAGGAAGCATGGTAACCAACACCGACACCTCCAGTCTTGAGTTTCATCAAATCTTCCAATTGCTCCATAGTCATGTCCTTTGTCCCAAGGCGCATTATCGAGTCTGTGAACAGTGGAATATATGCTCGCAGTTCCTCTGGTAAATTTTCGAAAGTATTGATGGCTCGGAAGTAAGTCAGTCCATTAGTCGGTGCTTCTCGCCATTGTACGTTCACATTATCGACTTTAGAATCCCTAAACTCGATTTTCTCGTCTTGTCTTGGGATATCCTTGACATAAACAGTGGGAAGACAACTGAGATCTTGAGTGTTAGATTTTCCCTGTTCTTCCAAAAGTTCCAGTTCCCTCTTCTCCAGCTGCGCGCGAGCTTCGGCTTCACCACCAGCCTTCTTGGTAACCTCTGCAATCTTTTTTGCAAGACGAGTGGCTTCTTCAGCTACAAGCTCATCTCCGTAAGTTGTCGAAGGAGTCATTGTGAACGTAAGTGTATTGTCGTTAAGTAAGTACTTTTCCAGCAAGCCCTCCAAGTAACCACCTTTCTCAAACTCCTTTTGAAATGCGGCGACGGTGTCGTTCCACGCTAGCGCTTCAAAAGGATCAGCACCATCAAACCATTTAGGTTTGATTCTTTGCATTAATGACATGCCAAACTTGGCAGTTTTGTGCTTCAAGCTCAACTCCAATTGATGCATATAACCATCAATTTTTGACCTCTCGAACCCGCTCTTATGTGCTTCTTGGAAAGTCTTGTGGATTGCCTCCTTGACTTTGGGTACATCGGCTTCCTTAACGCCGGTCAATCCAACAGAAAATATTCCTACTCCTCCAGAAGGATCATAGCCGCTATTTGGGCTCCATTCTGTTCCCAATCCGGCTTCGATCAAGTTTCTATAGAGTGGAGATCCATATCCATCCATAAGTAGGGCAAACATTATCGAAAGAGAGAAAGTCTCTAATACATCCGTAGTATCACCTACCAGCCATGAAGTTGAGGTTTTAAATTGCATATCTGCATCCACCAACGGGTCAATAGGCCCAGGAACGGTGTTACTTTGTGGACCAGATGATAAATCAATAGGCTTTCGTATTTCCATATCTCCATTGATACGCTCAAAGGCATTCAGTTGAGCGTTGACCTCTAGAAGATGATCTGCTAGAGGCATATCACCATATGTAAAAACTTTAGCATTACTTGGGTGGTAATGCTCGGCGTGATAGTTTTTCAATTGCTCATACGTCAACTCGGTCATCTTTTGTGGATCTCCTCCTGAATTATTAATGGCAGGGAAAATGTGATCTTGGAACCTGATGTAGTAGAGATATCCAGCGTCCGACATCTGTCCCTTCATCTCGTTGTACACAACACCTTTGAACACCAATTTGCTGTCTTCAGGTTTCGCAGATTCCCCCTCTATTGCCACTCGTGGGTTCTCGGGTCCTATTCTCCATCCTTCTTGTGTGAAGTCGCTCTGCTTCAATAATGGATGTAAAGTTGCATCGAGGTAAACAGACATGAGATTTTTGAAGTCTTGCTCATTGGTGGTGGCGAAAGGATAAAATGTGTGAGAAGACGCGGTGAATGCATTCATAAAATTGGACAATGTTCGGGGTAGCATTTTGAAAAAGGGATCACGGATGGGGTACCTACAAACTATTCAGCGCAATCCAAGATGGATGAGATGGATGAAGGAAGTCAATTTACTTTTTGCTTCCACATAATGTTGTATGTTCCAGAATATGAGGAACTCCAGTATCATCTGGAGGATTTGTTTTGAATCCAATAGAGAAAACATTATTCTTATCTTCTCTGGCAACATGTAAATAGTCCGCGCCAGTTTTATCATGCTTCAGGTGAAGTGCTGTCAACTCAAGCTCTTGAACATGTTTTGATCTTAAGAGTGTGAATCCATGAAGTTTTTCGCCTGGCTTTGGATACTGAGCAAGCTCGGTAACTCCTCTCTTTGCAGCTTGTCGTAACATATTTTTTTAAGTCAATATGTCATCAAAGACACAAAATGAGAGAGAAGGAAGGAAAGGATGGTGAATCAAAAGGTGTTAGATGTTAAAGGAAGGGTGGTTGCCAATTTGATTGAATTGTTCGCTTCGGTGAAATTTCATGTTTTTGTTTGATTGCCCGACTGCCCGGCCACTAGCTCGGTATACCATCAACCTCGTAATATCTTATTTTGAAGAAGAACGTCAACGTGCAGAGGGGCAACGACAATACATAAAACCACCCAAAATAAGATTGCGACTAAAGCAATCGTCGCTCCTAAACATCAATAGATATTGATACATAGCATCAATTATGTCGACCACGGCAAATCCCACTTACGCACCTGGTCCTGCAGGTTCAAGAACCACCTCGATGAATGCGAATCATACCCATGCCGACTACCCCAATGGACATCATCACCACAATGATGCTGGTGGAGTTAAGAAGGGGAAACAGAAGAAGGCGACAGATCCGAGTGAAGCTTCGAAACTGATTGCGGCCAAAATCTCGCAACTGGAACTGGATGCAGCTGGAGAGAAGGATCAAGAGGCAGAGATTGGTTCGTCTTGCCCATTCTAGATACTCCTTCCCTATCACCGAATTGCATCCCGTACCAAACATTTGCTGCGGTGCGCATTGTCCATTCGAATTGCGTCGCGGTGAAGGAGAGGGGTAAGCGCTTCCTCCAGAACTCAATTGTCGAGTGTGATTAATTTTCGAAGGAGGGGTGTACGATTTTTGGTTCCACGAAATATCTCAATGCACCCCGGTATCATTTGTCAATTTTGGAGAAGCCACAGGACTGTTGCTCTCCTTCTGGAGTCCTCCGCGAGTGCAAATGGAGGGGCAATGTGAGATCAAGTTTTACTCGGAAAAAATGCTAACAGATTGTGCTATAAAGAACGCGAAGTAAAAAAGGCGAATCGAGAACTGAATAACCTCACATCCAAAATGGACGATCTTCAGAAAATCGAAACACTCCAAAGGAGGGTCACCGAACATCTAGCGGATATGAAACGACTGGAGCGGGATAACCAGAAGAACAAGAAGCGCGGTGATGTGCTACAGAAGGAGAAAGATGTTGCGAGAACTGATCTTGGCAAATCCAATACCCTCCGAGAGAAGCTGGAGAAACTTTGCAGAGAATTACAGAAAGAAAATAATAGACTCAAGGTGCGCATTATGTTGGGTACAGGCGATTTTACAGATGCTAAGCGGGGTTAGGGTGAAAATAAGACTCTACAAGATAACGAAAAGAAGGCCAAGGAGGAATGGGATCAGAAATGGGATGAAATGCTGTGGCAGTTCCAGGACTATCAAGATAAAAAGGATCATCCTCAAACTGTGGTTGTCAACCCTGAAATTGACGAGCTGTAAGTTCTTTCATGTCGCCACCGGATCTACCACTAATCATTTCCCTTGCAGTTTCAAGGCGAGGTTCAAGTCTTTAATTGACCAGTATGAATTGCGGGAGCTTCACTTCCATTCTCTTCTACGTACAAAAGAGCTCGAAGTTCAGTATAATCTTGCTAGGTTTGAGCGTGAACGTAGAGCTGCCGAGCAGGAGGTAAACCGGGCGAAACAACTGAATCAGCAGGTTCTTACCTTTTCCAAAACCGAAACTGAGCTGCGGAACCAGCTGAATATTTATGTGGAAAAGTTCAAGCAGGTATGGCTTACTTTTTATTATATGAAATTGGTCGCGTGATGCTGTTAGATGCCTAGAGCTAATTGCCCGCCAGGTGGAAGACACGCTCAATAATAGCAATGACCTATTTCTAACGTTTCGCAAGGAGATGGAAGAAATGTCGAAAAAGACCAAGCGTCTTGAAAAGGAGAATATGGCTTTGACTCGAAAGCATGAAGTTACCAATAAAAACATACTCACGATGGCCGAGGAACGCAATAAGAGCACCCACGAAATCGAGATATTAAAAAAGAGAAATGATAAGTTGAGGGATATTATTGATCAAATGCAGAGGCAAGGACGAGGCCTTACCCAAGGCATGGCAGGAACTGTGGAAGGAGAGTATGCCGAAGGTGATTTGGAAGGTACGGAGAGCGAGTATGAGTATGAAGAGGGTGAGGATGAAGGAAGCGAGGGGGAGTATGACGAGGATACAGAGGAGGATGTTCACCCGGAGCCTCCAAGACCCTTTGGACCTGTACCACCGCCTCCTCCGGCCATGAATGGCATGACTGCTGCGAACGGCGTACACTAAGAATAGTGGCAAGGCCCATCAGTCGCACAATTTTGTATTACGGTCTCAATGGCGATTTATCGATACCTGTTTGTTCTCATCTTTGTACATGCATACCGACTAGCAAACTACTTCTTTAGCGAGTAAACCTTCTCTCTCGAGGCTGGCGATCCCTCATTGCACACATGTATTAGCAGACAAATCACTAAATTATCAACATCGCTGGCAATAACTAGTGCGCAGGAATAATAAATTACGAGTGATTTAGTTGTCACCCTATCCTGCCGATACTTTCTGCAAGTCCATTGGTGGAGGGGAGTGACCTCCTTCTTTGTTCTCACTCACGCACACATCTTTGTTCTGCTTCTTGTCACATAGCACTCAACGAGACTCAATACTACTATTTCTCTGTGCTCAAATAAGCGCTTTCAGGCTGACAGAGACATTGGTGCTCAAGATTCCAGGCTTTAAGTGCCCACATGAATAGTAGTAGTCGATCTCTTGTGTTACAATAGAAGTACTAGGTAGGTAATATGTCTTGATTAGCATGATTGTTATGTTCTAGCTTGTATAAAGATCTCCGGAAGAATCTCTAGACAGTTTCAACCGGTGAAAACATTTGTTTTAGTCCAAGAAAGTATATGTATTATCCACACTTCTGAGATTGGGGGTCGAATAGCCTCTGCTAACAATAGACGATTGTTCAGGGACAACAAAGAAAGGTTTTCTCTATGAGTCGGAAATTCGATTGATTGCTTGCTCCAATGTCTGTACAATTGCTTTAACCACAGGTTTTGGCCACACAATATTCTGCTAATTACCTGAATAGTTGCTCCTCTTTAACCTCAGACAAGTTCGCGCATTATTCGTCTACATAATGTAAGAGAAAAACGGGAAAACAGACCGTGGGGTCTTTCCCGCATTAATATGCTCGTTGTTCAAATGTCAGAACAGAGTTGAAATAGTAGCAACTAAACAACTATATGAGGACTCATCCCTCACCTCATCCACTTCTTTACTTCATCAACCCATCAACTTTCATTCACAGACAGTTCAGTCAAGACTTGCAAGCAAGACTTTCACTCAACACAATCAGAATCGTCAGTCAGATCACACTTGCAACCACCCACCAAACAAAATGGCGCCTCCAAGCTTCCGCACTTTGTTGCTCGCACATAACAACGACGAGGTCGCAGCATCCGAACCCGCAACACTCACCCCAGAACAGATCCCCAGACATCGCTGGGTCTCGTTCGGCGGTGAAACCCTTGCGCTCTCGATCGATCTCACCGAGGCCCAACGACCTCTCCCCACCGACATCTCGAACTTCCACGACATCGTGGCCCTTCACGCAGTCTATACGAAGACTTGTCTTGTCTCTGTCACACTTCCCACGTATGGCCACGACGTCACGAGATCAAACCACAGTCGCATCTTCTGCCACCTCGTCACGATCCTCAACGGATTCCCTCGCATCGCTCGTCTTGAAGTTGTCATTCGCATGCCGTTTGAGAACTTCACTCAGCTCACCAATGCTTGCCATTTCTACCGCCTTGACTTCAAGGCGTGGAAACTCTTTTGCAAGGTTGGGACTTGGGATGTCGAGCAGATTCACGTGGGGTCCCAAATGGATCGCAGATTGAACGGGTGGTTCAAGGTCAACATCGCCGGTTCCGCCTGAGGAACCACGGTGTGAGGTTTTTGATCGGGTATCGGAAGGTAGGTGTGATTGAAACCTAAATTGCATGACAAAATTGAACAGAACCCAAATTGATCGACCAGGTGTCGCGAGGAGGAGTTTTGGATAGATTGCGTTGCTTTCGGAACCCCCAAACTGAATAATTTCCTTTCAAAAAAAAAAATGTAAGTTTCCCCTTGATGAATGTAAGTGACACAGTGACCACAAATCGAGCACAAATCAATGATATATAATCTCAATGGTATCTAAGCAAATAGTACTCGATTAGACAAAGTTGCCCATAATGGAACCGCGCATAGTTCTATAGATTGCTCATAATCATTACCTATGAACTAATCCAATCTAATCATCAATCAGTCCAAAGCAGGAGCAGTAGCCACAATAGCTTTAATCAGAAATACGACAGCATATAAATAATCAGAACGGCCCATACATCAACCACCATTTCGATTCTCGATTCTCGCCTCAACACTCCCCCCTTCCCCCCACTACCCATGTGCATATTAAAGCCTGTACTGTACACTGACTGTAACGGCCCGCCTCGGCAAAACTCCCCACAAAAGCTTGAATTATCCCATCCCATTCCCCTGTAAAAGAAAAGCCACGTATCTCCTTCCCTTTTGCGCAGATGTGATAAGATATCGATACGATGTCAAATATCGGTGCTTTCGATCTACTTCCACTTCTCAATGCCAATGATTGCTGCTAATGATTGTTGCCAATGATTGCTTATCTTGCTTTTCTTACCCACCCTCCCACCTTCATACCTTTCCTCTCCTTACACCCCTCGAACCTCTCATACAGTACTACTGTAAGGTTACCTACGGAACTTCATCTTATGATAGATCTTGTTAGATATATACGGTACTGGGATGTGTACTAGATACTTACAACTCACGGAAGTATTTCTCTGCAATGCAATGCTGCTTGCTTGCTTGCTAAGGTCACGCTGTCTGTTCCTATATTTGTCTCGTGTCGTGTTGCTGTTTCTCTTGGCTTTTTATCCACCAATAGTTTGGTAGGAGTTGCCGTGCTACTCTAATGTCCATAGCTAGGATTAGAGATATGAATATGGAGATACGATATGATGAGGAGTCATATGTGACAATGCGTCTTGCGGAGTATGATAACTAGGATTGGTTAATAGGAAACTCTATTCACTGGGATAGGAAATTCTAATCTCTATTCAAAAAGAGACCGGTATCTTTTCTTCAACTGCCTTTTTGGATCGGCACCGCGCATGCATGTCAAGAAAGCTTGTATGGGATTTGTGGCAGGGGGTGACAGCTAGTAAGCTATGTGCATTGTGCTGTTATTTGAAGATATGCTCGCGACATTTTAAATGAGCATATGAAGCAACATTTCCTCTTTCTTTGCTTTCCTTCTGTTCTTTTCTGCAGCATTTTTCAAAGTGCCCAGCTTCATCTCCATCCCCATCCCCATCCACCTCCCAAACAGCCCATCAAAATGTACATCCCCATCCTTTCCACCCTAACCACCCTCTCCCTCCTCTCCCTCACCACCGCCCGCATGCTCTCCCGCGCCCCAAACTCCAAAATCTCAGTCCGCAGCGCCGTTCCCGTTAGACCGAGAAGTATCCCCGTCGTTACCGACAATGTTTTGCCCCTGACCAAGAAATCTTCTGGAGGGTCGAAAGTCAGAAGTGCAGTCAAGTTCTTGAAGAATGCAAATATTGTCAATGGGAGTAGTACTGCTTTGGTCAGTTTATTCGAGGGAGAGGAATTCGCTACGGATATCACGTTTGGAACGCAGACTTTTGAGGTCATGTTAGTATTTTCTGAAGTTGTCCAATTTCGTGAACGGATAACGAACAGTAAATTGATATTTTCTTCTTTCTTCTAGTGTCGATACCGGATCTAGTGATACCTGGTTAGCCGAAACCGGGTTTGCTTGTGTCGATCTCGATACTGGGAAAAGTACCACGGAAGCTACTTGTGCATTTGGCCCAACATATACGAAAGATACCACATTCAAAGCCGTTTCGGGTGAAGAGTTTAATATTACATATGGTGATGGAGAGTACCTTACTGGTGTTGTGGGATCCCAAGCTGTGACCTTTGCTGGCATTGAAGTGACCACGACCGTCGCTCTGGTAACTTCTGCTGCGTGGAAGGGTGATGGAACAACTAGTGGGTTGGTCGGTCTGGCATATCCTGGAATGTAAGTCTTTCCTCCCTCGAGACAAAATCAGTAAATGAGATAGAAAAGAAGAACTAACACCACCTCCTCATCAGTACATCCGCCTACAAAGGTTCCACCCAAGAAGTCTACAACCCCATCTTCACCACCATGTACGAAGAAGGTCTCGTAGACTCTCTATTCAGTCTCGCCATCGAGCGCGACGTCTCCGGTCCAGCCGGTTACCTTGCTCTCGGCGGTGTCCCACCCGTCGACTTCGTGCAAACTTTCGCCAGCACCCCCATCCTCATCACATCCATCTCCGGATACCCTAAGACATATGATTTCTACACCATCAATATTCAAGCTGTGTATTTGAACGGGAAAGCCATTTCCGGCGCCGCTACCCCTTCTTACATTATCGATTCGGGAACTACACTTAATTACCTCCCTACCACTGTAGTTAATGCTATCAACAAGGCTTTCGTGCCCGCTGCAGTATACAGCAATGACGAAGGTGCTTATGTCGTCTCTTGCACTGCTGTGCCACCTGTTTTTGGTATCGAGATTGGTGGTACAGTTTTCTATACTAATCCTCTCGATATGATTCTCTATGCTGGTACTGATAGTAATGGAAAGGATGTTTGCATTAGCGGTATTGTTGATGGTGGAAGTGATACTGCAGAAGATCTTTATATTTTGGGTGATACTTTCCAAAAGAACGTCATCACCGTGTTTGATGTCGGGGCTGGTGTGTTACAATTCGCTGCGAGGGAAAATTATACTAGTAATGATACTTATTAGGCGAAGCAGAAGGGGAAGGGGTAGCTTAAAGGGTGAGTTAGATGTGAGTAGGATGTCGAGGGTTTGGTGATTATATTGTATATATTTGAGGAGTACATTTGAGGAGGGTATCAAAATGATTTAATGCAACTACCATGCCATACGTGAATGAAACCAATGTTTGGATTGTTCTCGGACATTAAACGGTGATTCCCGTCCATAACGATGCGTTCTAGAAGTGTAGGAACCTGATCCGTCAATAATCGTGCTTTTTGCGAGAAGAGAGGAATTCCGCTCAACGCATCCCAGTTTTAGAATTCCAGAATTAAAGGAATGAAATCTATACTGTGAGGTACAATACGATATTTGTGGTGCCTCTAAAAAATAACATATATTGAAATGAAATCACCAACGTTAATCCGTACAAATCCGAAGCCCGAAACTTCGAGGCTGAAAACTGCACGCAAACACTGTGTGCTAGCAATGCAGATTCGGAAAACAGCAACATTGAACCTTCCTCCTTATTGATACGGAGCCCAACCAATCTCGTTTATAGGAATCTGAACCCATTGTTTGTGTTCTTCGTCCAAAAAGCTATAGATATTGGCCATCAAATGATTGCTCCATCCTTCTATCCACCAAAGATTCTCCAACTTTTTGAAACACACAGATGAATAGGCAAGAATCGCTAATGCTTCTTGGGTGCCCGCCTTTAGACGAGCCAAGTAATCGTCAGATAGTCGAAATAGCCAGATAAAAATGTCACTAGTTTCGTATTTCTCGGCTGGACACTTGTACATGAATTTGTATGAGAGTTCCAGGTCGTGAATGGCATCTGTATATATCTGTACTTCGTGCTCATCGAGTACCGTAGTCTCGATTGCACTTCTGAGATGCCCCAAATGTTCTCTGTCATCTTCGGTATATGTTTGACGCAATATGACTCTCTCATTCCGGGCGGCGAATAGTAAGGCCAAAGGCCCAGTTATAAGTGTGTCTCTGAATTGTTCGATAATTGACGTCACTCCTTGGAATAGTATGAGCCATGTAGTGATCCCATTTTCACCAACGATTACAAACTCGTCAACGCTGCGAGGCCGGCCTAATGTATGCATCCCGGTGACTACTGAGAAAATGTGGAGAGCCGCACAATTCTCAACGGTAATATTTGGAATTAACGCAGTGCCTTGGCGGAGGGCCGCTTGATGCTGTTGCATAGAATACTCATAAAGTTGCTGACTCGGTCCAGGCGCGTTGCGAGCCATATGAAGAGCAGACAGAGCGAGAAGGGCACGCATAACGAATTCGTGCTGAAAAGCAATCTTGACAACCGTGGTCCGCCATAGTTCCCTCACCTCTGGATTGGAATTAAGTGAGAAGCAGGTCGATGTACAGAAGTTGTTAAAGACCTCCAGATCCATAAGATTTAGATGCGGATCTTGACCCTCGGCAATTGGAACAGTAGCTGAAGCTGGAGATCCAAGAGAGGAATTTGGTGTGTTCTTGGCTGAAGCTGCTGCATTTGCCCGTGAGTAATCACATGGTATTGAATGTTTGATACAATTCAGACAGCTAGGTTTCCCTTCGCCACACTAATAGATGAGTTAGCCAATGTCGGATTGGAGTCAAACGCGTCCGAGTAAGAATAAAAAAGGAAGCTGGAGCTGATAAAGAACGATATCAGAGGGGCCGTCCTACACAGCTGTAGCTTAGGACGAAAACTACAGTCCTCAAGCCTACATATATATGTGCGTGTTTTTGCTTGGGTAGAGTTAAGCAAGATGGAAAGGTCAACAGTTTCTTCGCCCTACCTTAATCTTTCTCCTCTTACAATTATTACACCCTGTCCTCGTTTTCCGGTGAGAGCGACGTGAAGAATTGAACACTTTATCGTTTGATGTGGCATCGTTATCCATCTTTATATATGCAAATTGAGGTTGTGGTGAGTCCACTTTGGAGTCCGAGCAAGGGTTTGATTCAGAATATATATAGATCGAGAGCCTCGGTGTGCGCGTTGTGTGGTACAGATCTCCAGTATTACTCCTCTCTTCCTCTCCAAGTATCTCCAAGCAGCGTCGAGAAGATCACAAACCTCGGGTTCAATACTAGATATTAATACAAGTACGGTATGTAGTTGTTGAAAATCAAGTAGCAATATTCGGGGATTTCGGTAGAGATTGTAAGTCCGAATACATGCTGATTCTTCCGGGGATGATGGCGGCTGATTGAAGAAAAAGGCTTTGTATTTAGACAATAACTGGTCACGGGAACTGGAAGTACTGAAACAATTGTACATGAAGTGAAATTACCAACTAAACAACGGAAAGGGAAGCATGTACCGGTACTAAATTTGGAAATATAGTTGTGGCTCCATCCACATTAGTTCACAATACAGGGTATTAATAAGGGTATTGAGGTGGGGAAATGACAATGATTAGATTGTGTTGGATCGAAACCAAGAGAGAGGGGTTGTACTTATACTCTACAGGGCTGACAATATGATGGATGCTATTTCAGGGTTTTGTCAAGGATTAATACATTTCGAAAAGGAATCCTTCGATATGGATCTCGGCATCGTGCATATGGATGAACGGATGAACGGATAATCGGAAAAGAGCTGTCCAAGAGGGTTGACGTCAAGGCCAAGCGGAAGTAAATCCGTACAAAGCAGGAACTAGACTTGTCTAATCACAATTATAAACATGATCTTCAATTCCAAGGTCGTCGTCTCAATTCATTTTACATCTTATCTTCAATTCAATACTCCGTACAGAACTTATTTACAATTCCACGTATTAGCTACCTAGTAGTTATAAGGCCCCTCACAACCTTCAATTGACTCGGTTGGTACCCCTTCATCCATATAACCCATCTGTTCTATATTTGCTGATAGTTGGCTAATTGATTGACTGACTGCAGACTTACTCAACATGTCATCTCAGCCCTCGACCATCGATAGTCTCAAGAATACAGTTTCTTCTGTATACGAGACCGTAGCTAATAGCGTATCTGCGACCTCACAAAATGACGGGTATGATCCCAATCAAGACAAGAATCAAATTGGAAAAGATGCACATGGAAATAAGTTTAGGAAGGGTGATTTCAAAGACAAATTGAATCAAGCTGCTCGTAGCGGACGGCCAGAGAAGGAAGAAAGCTCTACAGAGAAAGGTAGGCATATAATTTTCATTGCTGCTGAGCAGACTGACTTTTGGACTCTCAAGTAGAGGTGGCTAATGATGAAAGCTTTATCATGGACACCAGACATGGGCACATTACAGAAGTCAACCATGGAACAAGGACCAGAGGATACGAGTGTCAAGGGCGATGGAGCACGCCCAACTCGACCCGAGCACGATGTGCCAATTGAACAATTTTTGAGAAAGCAATACCATAGCAGAAGTGGGGATGGGATTCCAAACCCCGGGGAAAGTAATTGACTACTGTCTTGTCTTCGATAATGACAATGAAGCTATTTACGAATATGTACGACATAACGGGAAAACATGGGATATGCGTTACAAAATCGATTGGGAAAGGCGCTTGTTTGGTACTGTGCTGGCTGGAACTTGTCATATCATTTGAATGACATCAATAAGCGGTGTACACAGCTGAGTGGCCTGGTATAAAGCACTTCGTATTCACTTCATGGTACAATATTTAATATGGACATCTGCATGTTTTGTACTGCGGTCATCAAGAGTGATTTGTCCCGTTACCGCAGCCATGGTCAGAATGTCCCGAAAGTGACACAATGACTTCGGGTTCGTAAATGTACCCAAATACTGGATTCGTTTTCCTCAATACTTATGTCTATTTTTGGTTCATGCAGCTACTTCAATGTTCGTTCCCTGCCAGCGGGCTTCTTGGCAGATGGTGATCAGCAAAGTCTCAACCAAAGCATACAAAATTTCTCGTATTCCTTACAATACAATACTTTGACATCAACTGGCTTGAATCATGAACACCATGAGAGTCAACGAGTGCTTTCCTTTAAAGCTCATCATTCTCCTCCTTTGTTATTCATGCCTTCCATTCTTTCAACCACTTTCGTCCAGACTTTCGCTTTCCTTGACTGTATTACATAACCAAATATCTCCACTAAAGATCTGATCACCATGCATCAGACGAACCCATATAAAGGGGTACGTATGAGCAGCACACCGAATTTGCTCGGCAATTCTCTGAGAACTCTTAGGGTTGCTGTCACAATCACGTGTAGTTTTATGATCAAGAAATGCGTGTTGCTAACACAAATTCTAGCATAGCTTCCGGTCTATTGCGGCCCAGCTCACATTTGGCTTGTTCGTTTTCCCGTTGGCTTTTTCCTACCCATTTGGTGGCCTCGAGACTCGTGCTTCAAGCATTCAAGATTGCTTGACTCAACATTCCGTTCCATATCAAGATAGCTCTTCATCTTCCTGGGCTACAACCATTTCTCCTTATAATCTTCGCTTACCATATACCCCGGCCGTTGTCACTTTACCTACCACCTCACAACATGTTAGTGATGCGATCACTTGTGCGGCAGCCTCCGGACTCAAAGTCCAGGCTAAATCTGGTGGGCATTCATATGCCAGCTATTCAACCGGTGGAAAAGATGGGAGTCTGATTGTCAGCCTCCAAAACTTCAATTCCATCAATGTCAACACCCGAACCAACATTGCTACTGTTGGAGGAGGTGTAAGGTTAGGAAACCTCGCCCTGGGACTCTACAGCCAAGGCAAACGAGCTGTTCCTCACGGGACATGTCCAGGAGTTGGGATAGGAGGACATTTCACCCATGGAGGCTACGGATACGCATCTAGACTTTGGGGTCTAGCCCTTGATACTATAGTTGGACTCGATGTTGTTCTTGCCAATGGAACGCAAATTCACACAACGGCCACAGCATATCCCGATATTTTCTACGCCATGAGAGGAGCTGGTGATTCTTTTGGCATCATTACAACCTTCTACCTACAAACTTTTGCAGCTCCATCTTCCGTTCTTACTTTCGCAGCCAGTATCCCCGCAACGCTCAACAGTGTCAGCACCGCCGTCTCATCCTTCACCAAACTTCAGAAATTTACTCTCGACTCCGCCCAAATCAATAACAATATCACACTTGGTATCTACACCGACAACTACGGATCTTTCAGTCTAAGTGGATGGTGCATGAGCTGCGATCTAAATCATTTCAAGAGCGTCACTTTCCCTGCGATTTTGTCCGCCTTTCCTACCGCTGACTCAAGCAGCGTTGAATCTCTAGGATGGACAGATGCTTTAGTCAGTGCGAACAATGGAGGTCAGCTCCAGGAACCATTGACGGGATATGTTGCTCACGATACATTTTATGCGAAATCTGTGGTGACGAGGAATTCAGAGCCATTGACTACTGCTCAGTTGACGAGTTACTTCACATACCTCTTGAATCAAGGAAGAAGTGCGCCCGCTCCTTGGTATTCTATTATCGATTTATACGGAGGTGTTGGTAGTCAGATCAATGTGCCTTCTTCTGATTCATCGGCTTATTCTGACCGTGACGCCCATTGGGTTTTCCAGGTAAGATCCCTTCTTCAACATTATCTTGATCTCCCACTCTAAACTAATAATTGACAGAATTACGGCTTCACTTCTAACTCACTTCCACCATATGACGATGCCATAACGCCCTTCGTCGACTCTCTCAACAGCGCTCTTTCAGCTGGTGCCTCCAATGACTTTGGCACCTACCTCAACTATGTGGACCCAGCACTAAGTGCAACCGATTTCGCAATGCTCGGATATGGACAGACTGCATACAACAAATTATTGACAATCAAACAAACCGTCGACCCCAACGAAGTGTTTTGGAATCCACAAAGCATCGGCGCTGCAGATAATGATACTGGAAATGGCAATAGCGGAACAACAACTTCAGCTACGCCCACATCAGCACCAACATCTACCTCTACCTCTACAACGTCAAAGGCTACGCCAACATCGACATTGAAGGTTTCAACCGATGCGTCGTGTGGTAATGGGTACACGTGTATTGGAAGTTCGTTTGGAAATTGCTGTTCGCAGTTTGGATGGTGTGGGAGTGCGTCTTCGTATTGTGGGACGGGGTGTCAAAGTGGATTTGGGACTTGCTCGTGAGGTGAGGGAAAAATGGTTTTGTGGAGTTTGATAGGATAGATTATTTGGAGGTTATGGAATTAGATTAGAAGGTTGGGAAATTAGATAGAGCGAAAAAGGCTAGATGATGGACATATATATGTCGCTGGTCATGATATATAATGTTTGATGAGAAATTAGTATCTGGGGAAAGATCTCTTATGAAGGCTTTAGAAATGAATTAGAGAAGACAATATTTACAGTACGAATTCGTAGCATCTTCATGAGTTAAGTGATAGTAATTTGTTATTCTGAAAAAAAAAACCAAAAAGCAAAAAAACATTGCAATAGCCTGAAGCGACCAACTGTTTTGAGAGCAGGGGGCTTCCTCTCGCTAAGTCAAATTCTAGTTAACATACTGTAACCTCGGCGGAAATGTGCCGAACAACCCCACGAAACAAAAATGGTAGGTAGTCCGAGATGTTCATGACAATTATGGAGGTATACCGAAGCTATTCCAATTTACATGCTCTCCTAGATTTGCGAGCTCGGAGTTCGAGCTTGCTTCATATAAAGATGATCATGAGAGCTAATCTGGGGTTGGTTATTTCTCCACGATTGATCATTTCTCAAAAGCTCTCTCTCTACATACAGGTTTGAGTAGCATCTCTTCCATTCTTTACCCCCCTTCCCCCCTTTCTCTCTATTGACAACATCACCACCATGTCTTCATCTGATAAACCATCCGTGGCCTTTATTGGTCTTGGAGCCATGGGTATGGGTATGGCCACAAACCTCCTGAAAACATTTTCCGTCACCGGCTTCGACGTCTACGAGCCCACTCTCGAAAAGTTCAGATCCGCAGGCGGACGCACAGCTCCCACACCTCGATCCACGGTGATAAATGCGAAATACATCGTCGTCATGGTAGCCACCGCCGCACAAACACTTTCAGTTCTCTTCGACGATGCCAATGGAGCGATCCACGCCTTGCAACCCAATGCTACCATCATCCTAAGCTCCACCGCTTTTCCCGAACATGTCCCGCACGTCAGAGCATTACTCGATATCAAATATGATAGGCGAGATGTGCAGTTGGTAGACGCACCGGTATCTGGAGGCACGGGTCGAGCGGCGATGGGTACACTTGTGGTGCTCGCTTCGGGGCCGGAGAATGCAGTGGAAGCGGCGAAACCGGTGTTGATGGCAATGGCAGATCCGTTATACGTCATTCCGGGAGGACTGGGGGCGGGCACAAATGTTAAGATGGTGCATCAAGCGCTGGCGGGTATACATATGACTATGGCTTCAGAGGCAATGGGGTTCGCGGCATTCTTGGGCCTCAATACGAAGCAGACGTTTGATTATCTTACGAATTCATCAGGAGGAAGCTGGATGTTGGGAAATCGAGTCCCGCATATGTTGGAGAATGATCTACATCCGTATTCGGCTTTAAATATTATTGTAAAGGATATGGGTATCGTGACAGCCGATGGCCGTAGAGTCAAGTGTCCACTCTTTCTCTGCTCTGCTGCTGAGCAAGTATTGGCGTCAGGTGTACGTTCTGGGTTTGGTTTAGATGATGATTCTGGACTCGTCAGAGCTTATATTCCCACGCAGCCAAGTCTCGTCTTCGAACAGACTACTGCTGCTGCTATAAGTACCGATGATCCGAGATTAAAATTAGTTGAGGATGTATTGGCAGGTGTGCATTTAGTTGCAGCAACAGAGGCAATGGCTTTTGGTCAGACGATAGGCCTGGACCCAGAAATGCTATACGATATCGTGAAAGGGGCGGCGGGAGCGAGCGCTATGTTCGTGGATAGGGTACCGGCTTTGTTGAGTGGGAAGTGTACCTCGAAAGTCACTATTGACAACGTTATTGATCGTTTAGTAAGTCCACTTCACCAGAATTTAATTTTCCATTCATTACAATTCTCGGTAGTCTATAGTCTATTCTATACACGGGTACACGACACTTACCATTCAAATAGAATACAGCAATCGAGGAAGCGAGTCGAATCAAATACCCGTTGCATCTTACAGCAACAGCATTACAAGTCTTACAGTTGGCAAGTGCTAGAGGTTTCGGGGGTGAACCTGATGTTGCCGTGGCGAAGATATGGGATGGTCATGTCGAATTTCCACTGGCTCTCTTTTCATGAGGTGGCAACTTTATTATTCATTGGAGCAGAGCAATATTTTGAACTCAAATATATACTAATGAAATTACATTGTACCTCAATTTCAATTTGGTCATTTGGTATGTAAAGTCTAGATACCCTTCTATAGTAAAACGTAGCTTCATATCTATAAAATCGAATTGAAACTATTTGTCACATTTCAAAGGGTATATATACGGCGACAAACCAATTGTTCAATTTCGTGTTGTAGCATCGAGACTTGTGTCATGATAACGGGTAGCAAACTCGTTTATATGGCAAGTGAGGCATATCCGATCTGCTTATCCGTCTGATCCGTCTTATCCGTCTTGAGCTGGCGATTGAGGGTTTTTCGGGACCAGTGTACATGTAGTCTCCACTCCCATGGACATGAAATGCGGCCAGACCAGGACTGCGTGCCGTGCGTCTGATTTGGCCAACTACCCCTTTCGTATATGTTCGGAGACTTCTTCCTACTGTAGCAGCTTAGTTGTAATATATAAATAATTGAATTCCTGAGCTGACTTTCTAAAGTAAAGGGTGTATAGAAGAAAAGTTATTTTCAATTTGGAAATTATGTTCGTAATGTCTATGTTCGAAATGCATTGTATTCTATTTTCTATTCATCGTATGTATTCTATGTATCTAAATCATTGTTCCAACGAAGCTTTCTATGCTCAAGCCAAGTAGGCAGGTATAATTTGTTCAATCTATCATTTCGTCTTCGTCACATCTTAAACCCTCGTAGCTCTCTATTTTTCATCATCATTATCATCAATGTCATTGTCATCCTCGTCATCCTCTACTGCCTGATCTAATGGTTCTCCTGGCATTCGGAACCTGGTCGCTTGTTAGTATACTTTCCGGGCACTACCATTTTGGAATTCCAAATCAAGAAAACTTACTTATCAACGACTCTCTCAATTCCATCCAAACCCATCTTCAAAGTATCCATAGTTGGACCATAAGAAAATCTTACGAAGTGGTGACAAGGACTGTCGAATAAATCTCTTCGCTTACTTGGATTCAAGTCGAAAAAGATACCGGGTACAACGATGACACGCTCCTCAAGACATGCTTGGAAGAAGTTGAGACCATCGGCAATTTCGGCTGGGAGTCCTTCGAGGTCTGCAATTTTGCTCATTAGTATTTCAGCGTGTAAATGATATTGATCTTGAAACTCACCCAACCACAAGTAGAAAGTGCTGTCAGGTACTTCTTTGATTATGAAGCCCATCTGGCGAAGCCGTTTGATAACATAGTCGCGCTTGTCACGGAAGTGAGTTTGCAAAGCCTTCATTTCCTCTCTAACCTTTGTAGGCTCAAGCATAGGAATGGCAGCTTCCTGGAAGGGAACATTGGCACCACCATCAAGGTATGAACCACATGAACCAATAGCTTTGATAAATTCCTTTTCAACTATTAGCAATGCCACTGAGATTTGGTAAAAAAAGAAATGCAAACCTTTGGTCCAACAATCCAAGCAATTCTCCATCCGGGTAATCTAAAGCGCTTGGTAAGGCCATCAATGATCAAGACATCGTCCTCATCCACGTCCTCAATGTTATCAGCAGCACTGATTGTGGTACCATCACAATTGCTGGTGTAGTTGTAGCCTCCGTAAAATTCATCCATGATAAGAGTAGCTCTATCTCTGCAGATGTCTTGGATTTCAGCGAGCTGAGGGTTCTTGACAACTTTTCCGGTAGGATTTCTAGGATTTGAGGTCAAGATAACAGAGGTACCACGAGCAATCTCCTCCTCAATCTTATTGGGGTGGATATGATAACCATCTTCTTCAGAGAGAGGGGTTGGAATTGCCGCAAACTAAAATGAGTAAGCTTTCGAAGTTCTTTCCAATAAGTGTTGATGGTTTGGGTGACCCACGTTCTTGAATAATGACAACATCTCATTGTATGCAGTATAATCAGGAATGAAGAAACCCAGGTATGCATTGTTCAACACTGCAGCGATTCTGATCAAACCAGCGCGACCACCAGGAACAATGCAAACATTTTCCCAAGTATATTGACTTTCCTTGCCCTCTCTATGATGTGCGTTATACATGTTTGCAACAGCAGCTCTCAAACTTTTGATACCAGCTGTAGGACCGTATTCTCTGCCCGTCATTGTAATATCAATACTCTCAGGGCGCTTGAAACTACCCGCGATTTCGTCATCGACTTCGGGGGCACCTTGTCCAAGGTTTGCCCATTTTTCAGGCTCCTCGGCAAATCCATGCTCATAGGCTCTTTCGGTACACCAGATTACACCAGTAGAGGCACGGGTGGGGTCGAGTCCTGCGTGGGACTTATGGCCTTCGTGGGCATTACGGAACTGCTTGTGGATCTTGGAGTCATTTTCTTCATCCATGGTTAGCTTCCTTCTATAGCCAGGACAAGATTAAAAAAGCGCGGCCTTCTCTATATACAGACAGATCTAGAAAACATCATATAATAAATAGATATCTTTTTGATCTCTGCCCCGCAATACCCAACATTTTTGAATGTCTTCCAAGACTGTGCTGTTCAAGAACAGCTACTTGACTGCTTCAAAAGAAGAGGGTTATATGTGAAGACCGTTTTGAAGCTCTTCGAAGCTGCAGGTACATTCTATAAGAAACGATGAGAAATGAGGTAAAGAACATACCACTTGGAGAAGGTTCATGGGTACTGAATCTTCTATTCAACTTAGAGGACAATCTTGGAGCCCCAGTAGTTCTATTCATGGAGAACTTTCTGTTATTGAACGCCATCTTGTATTATGGTATTCTCTTTCTCGAATAAGGTGTTGTTGTATTTGCTTCGTTGGAAGATAAAAGATAAAGATGACCTAGATCCAAAGCTCTTCTGCACCTTTTTAAACAACGAGGTGTGTGTGTGTTCGTATGTACAAGGCTGAGAGAAAGTGAATGAACAAGAATGACAAAAAATGACACGGTTCTTTCCTAGTGAATGAAGGAAAACAAGCTCTTATATATATCAAGAGCGGAGAAAGGAGGAAGAGAGTGGGGGGAACAAGTCGGAGAGGAAATGGAGCGACTATAATACGAATAAAGATAGAAATAGGAACTCTAACCAAAAAGAAAAGTGGTTGCGGGGCGATGCCGCGATAGACAAGTTCCGACAGGGGATATAATGAAAAAGCTTGTTTCCTTTACCTTATCGATTAACCGATTACGCAGCACAACCCGAAAAATGATAAGATCGGTGTAACAGCTGCCTGTACCTGTGCCTTGTGAGAAATGGCTCATTTTCATGCCGCTTAAGCATTATATAAATACCCGTTAGACCAAAAAATGCTACGATAATGCAATGTTCTCACAGTCTCACTCCTAATATTCCTATCTTATATAAAAGCAGCAATCTCTTTTAAATTCAGGGACACCCCATATACGAGTATATAATAAAGTTCCCGGAGTTCCCCCCAACGAGAGCAACAGGTCTACATTGATTGGTGCCACCACATATCCACTGCATATTATGTACCTAGGTAGGTATGCATTATGAATCCGGGATTTTGTCTCAAGACTGCCTGGGGTAGGTACATTATTCCTGCAAAGCATAGCGAATCACTTGGAGTAGATATTGTCAATTCAAATGGGTAAACATGATAGGTTCTAGGTAGTAAGTAGCACGAGTGGAGAATGGCAAACAGCTTATTGTTCAAAGCCCCTTTCAAATTTGGAACCATCATTAAATTATATTGAAACAGGTATTGTAAAGTACATTTTGATTCTACAGGTGGATCTACGAGGACGGGAAAGAAATGAATAAAGACAAGAAAGTATAAACTCTTAGGAAATATCAGCCGCAGAGGCATCATCCTCCAGCATTTGTTTGAAGGAGAATGGCTCGAACGGTATTCCATCTCCCATAAAATGTTTGCTCATGGCTTCCACCCAATGCAAACGAAGACTGTGCAACATTGCACTGGTACCTTCCATGACAACCAATACAGCAAGTGTGAGGAAAAACCATGCGAAGAATGTAACCACGACCATGAAGACACCTGCAACACCAGTCATATGAAGACCAATGGAAAGCGTCATATCCCATAATACACTAGAAAGTTGTTGATGCGCAAGGGACAAGGCCCATAGACGAAGGTATGAGGCGGTGTGTGATACACAATTCAAACAAAATTCTGGGGAATATTAGCAAGGACAATACACAGTGTGAGAGCAAGGATACATACCGATAGTGTGAATGACCTGATGAATCATTACTTCCGAGAACTCAAATTCTTCGTGTTCTTCGTCTCCAATATCTTGTGTAATCATAGCGACCCCTTCACCATCGCTGTTCATACTTATTCTACCATCTAAAGTATGATCATCGTCATCATCGCCATCAAGTGCGCTGACTCGAGATCTTTCGCCAATACCTCTGTAGCCTCTCCCTCGCGCTTTATTGTGCTCCCATCGAAGATAGAATGGCTTTAGTAGAAGCAATATTGGTACTTGGATGACAGCAATGAGAACGAGGCAGACCTGAACAAAGCCTTGGCCGGAGTAGAGTGGCTCTTCGATAGTTCCAGGCGACAAGAACATATAGATCAACATGTTCAATAGACCAGGAGGCGATTCTCCAATAGCCTGCCAATCTACCGTCCATTTGTAGACAATGGTAAAGACAAGGTACCCAAAGATGGTCTGGAAGAAAATCATGCCTGGGACGAATACGCCCCAGATATCAATAGGAGTCTTGAAGTGACGCGCATTGATGTAAGAGAGGCACAAGGAGTAGGTCATGTGGCACCAACCCATTAATATACTCAACTTCATCTTGTAACTGTTGGTAAATAAAAGGTCGTTCTCGGTGTCATGCCACATCCAGTCGAGACCAAAAGGGTAACGATATCCTGTTGGCTCCTTGAGATGAGCCACAATAGAGTCGGGGTAGTTCTCTGACCAAGCCCAAGCACTCGGAAAGAATGAAAATGACTTGGAGAACACATCGTTATAGATAAGACCAGTGTACATAGAGAAGATACCCATCATCAGCATGATGTATCGACCGTAGAAAGCCATGGAGAAAAGTTCATCGCGAACTTTCTTCAATGACTTCTCCCAATATATCATAGCCGCAGCTGCACAAACCATGATAACACCATGTCCAAAATCACCAAACATGACAGCGAAAAGGAATGGGAAAGTAACGATGGTTGGCAGACCAGGATTAACTTCTTGGTACTTCGCTGTACCATAAGCATTAATAATCGTTTGGAAACCTTCTGTAAATCTGTTCGTCTTCTGGTAGGTCGGAGGAGTTTTGTTCGTTCTGATCTCGTTGATAATCGACGGGACGGAAAGGCCTGCTCTGTTGTTGACATCGTGAAGAGTCGACTTTATCAAAGGTAGAGAGTTCGAGGGGCACCAAGCCTCAGCAATCAAAGTCTTCCTCGCATGATCGTAAGAAAACAAGTTCAGTGTTTGATAAACGGCCTTCTCTTTCTTGATGATAACCATCCACGCAGCCAAGCTCCGTGCAATCTGAGTGAGCTCGGCGTCGAGTGTTTGCTTTGTGTTGCGGAGGACGCTACCAAGATCGCTCAAACGAGTGTTAACTTCATGAATTTGGTCCCTACGAAGATCGCTGTTCTCGTCCACGCTGTAAAGATCCGCACCGAGAGATTCAGATATCTTCCTGATCTTGGCAATAAGCTCCTTTCCATGCGCAAAAATCACAAAAACGTTTTTATTGATCGCCTCGTTATTTGTGGGATCAATAATAGGCTCTGCAATCTCCGACTGGTTCATGTAAAGGTTACCTCGGAGGGTTCTCCACAAGATACGCTCGAATGCTGCAATACGATCTCGAGGAATAACTCCCGACACGAATCCAATATTCATACCAGAGAATGACCGCTCCGCATCCCCATTATGGTGTGATTGTTCGACGTCTTGGAGCAAAGGAGCATCGTCGTTATCGGTGGAAGCTCTAATCTCATCCACATTTCCGTGAGCTCGATCGAAGAAAGATCCAGCCTCTCTTAGTACCCATCTCCATTCTGTAAGCTCTACCTCCCTCTTCTTCAAAGTTTCATAGCTGTCATTTAAGGATGCAATTCGTTGCTCGAGGCTCTGGCTGCGATCGGAAAGCTCGTCAATTTCGGTGGCGGAAGGAGCCGCGAGAGTTTCGACATCGAGATCTAACTTTCTCAGAGGGATTTCTGCTTTATCCATCTGCGTATGAAAGTAACCTGTGTATCAATCAGTATCGGTGAGATGCAAGCCTTGGGTAGGCACATACGAAGCTGTCTCTCGACATTGTCGAGTCGTCTTATTTCTTGAGTGAAAGTCCGCTGAAAGGCAGTGACATCGGAATTGAGCTACGAAAGCCATTAGCACTTCATCAGAGCTCGAGACAATTGAGACATACATCTCGAAATTGAATCTGTCCAAGCTCTCCCAATGCATTCACAATTTCGCGTCCAATTTCGTTGGCAATGTAAAGCTGGACCATACTCATGTCCGCTGAGCGGAACATGGTATCCTGTGTTGGTGCCATAATGAAAAGCTTGGGAATAACCCCTTGAATTCTCTTCTGGCGACTCGATGAAGCTTCACAAGCAAGTTGAGGTGGGTTTGTAGGGTTGATTTTGAGGTTGTAAATGTTGGAGGCGGCAGGGACATTGAAGCTTGGCTAGCTCAAAGTGTCATGAGCTAATCCATCACGTGATCAGATACAACCAACTTAATTGAGTAACCTCACAACCTTTTGTGTTTTGTGCTATGCACACAAGGTGGGTTCATTTTTTACGATATGCTACAGTTAGGTATAATATTTTATAGTTCTTGTGAATTAAAGGCTGTGGTTGTTTACAGGATTAGACAATGACGGTATTCTCGCTCGTTTCATGTCAGTAAGACAATTCGATTGCCTGGGCGTCCTTTCCCAATCTCTACTTCAGGTACTTTTACTATTCTTATTCTAATCGTCACACTAGAAGCAAGCGTAGAGAGTGGCTCTCTACATGCCATATCAGGTATTCACTCTCTTATTTTCCTTCCTATTGTCTCAAGAACTTCTTTTTCCATAAGGCTCGAATGGAAAGAACGCCGCAACTAAAGCCATAACAGCATATAGCGCAGCACAAACATAGATTGGCACTGGTGTACTGGTGTTTGAAACCGTTGCAATGACTGCACTCAAAATACCCATCACTCTGTTGCAAGCCACAGATATCCCATTGCCAGTTGCTCGATGGGCAGAAGGAAGAACCTCAGACGTATACGCGTAAAGAGTCCCGTAGTAGATGTTCAAGGAGAAAGCGATCGCACAGGAGAACCCTATGTTCTGAGGCTCGGATCGAACCTGTGTGTAAGCAAAGAAGAACGCCACTGGAATTGAATTAGGAGTGGACAGACCATAGTAGAAATGACAGAAGAGCAACGGTACATAACTTACTAGTGATCAGAGCACCAATAACCATCGTATATTTGCGACCCAGGAATTTACTGTTGGCCATATATCCCGCAAGCATCGGGCCCTAGTTCATTAGAATCATATGCAACAAAGTTATAGGCAACGCATAAATACTAACTGGAATCCCGCTGATGTTTACTAAAGCATAGTTCCTCCATGTCTCGTACGTCGAGATATTGCCAAATTCTGCACCACGAGTTGCGAGATAGGTAGACAAAAATACGTAGAAAAGAGGATATGCCAGACCTATGAGTGTCCACGATAACCAAATGAAAATCGTTGACAATGCAATCTTTTTAGTAGCGAATAGCCCTTTGAAATGAATGGTTAGTTCGGAAACCGATATTTTACTGCTTCCATGTGCAGATCGAACGGTGCCACAACTCTCAAGCATTTCAATAGTTATTGAGCATGGGCGATTGTACTTCAAAGCTATCTGTTGAAATCCATCAACGATTTGAGCATCTTTCCCTTCCCCGAGAAGATACTTAGGCGTTTCTTTGAGTCGAAGGACAGTGATTCGGGCAATGCCCATCGCCAAAACCAAGGCTCCGGACGTGTACATAAGGTATCTCCATCCCTTATTATTGTCGTAGGTACAGGTTGCACTCGCCAAGCAGTTCCATCTTGCTGGAGCTGTAGTTAGAGTCAGTGAGATGCTTGGATCAATCTGGAGCTGAAGTTATTAAATACACATAAAACCCCAAGCTAGGAAACCAGCCACAGCTTGACCTAAACCCCACCATGCAGCGAGCCATGCTAGAGAAAATCAGCTTGCAGAACTGTTAACTCTCGTATGAACATTACATACTCAATACCCATTGCTTGTTGCTGGGAAGATATTCCAGGAAAATAGTGGTATCAAGAATAAGATTTCCACCGCCACCGAATCCTACCAGCGCAATGAAGACTGCCAGAGAGTTCCACGAAGGCGATGCTCCTGATACGATACAAGCCACTGCACAGATGAATAGCGATGTGTTGAAAGCAAACCGCCGACCAATTATATCCGCAGTCAGGCCCCAAAATAAAGCTCCTATGAGCATGCCAACGTACACAGCAATTGTAAGTGCGCGGGAGTAGGCGGGATTGAATTCATAGGCGGCCTGTCTAGCAATAATGGATTGCAAAAGTAAGAGCAAAGAATCGACCGCATATCTAAACATAAATTAGCCTCCCTTAATCATCATTTCACCATTTGAGAGATCAGAAGCTCGTAAGTTGTCCCTGCTACTGACCCGAATCCATTAAGCACGAACAACTTGGTATGGTTAGCAAGTTATTAGTCTAAGACGGCTGATATATATACCTTCCAATGGTAATTTGTCCAGCCAATTTCATCAATGGCCTATGCGAAATTTATCAGCGTAAGAACGATAACTTAACTTGGAGGCAAAGAAATCATATTCTTTTGGAGGGATATTTTCCCAAGACTCCTAAAGTAATGATTGCGTATCCTCCTACTGTGTGAAGCCCACAATGTCTCATCACGTCAAACACTTTTGGGAGAATGTAGTCAATGGTAGGAGTGTCATTTTACTTGTAGGGACAGTTTCTCACATTGTTGACGATGTGCATCTTCGCATTCAGAGCTTTATCAACATTTTGAAGAGCGAGGATGTCCTCTCCTTCACCAATAGCTGAGATATATGGAATATTATCCTGATCCTCTAATGCAATCTTCTCCACGTCCTTTGATGATTGAGTAGAGCCTGTCGCCATTTTGCTGGAAATTATGGGAGGAAAACGTGCGTAAAAGTTGGATGATAAGTCTGAGTGGTAAAGTTCCAAAAAAGCTACATAAGATGAGTAGAATGAACAGATATTGATATCCCGCGCTCAATCTGAAGACGATGAAGTATTTATGGTATGAAGCAAGGATCTCTTATCCCCCACCTCCAAATACGGCTGCGTATGCGGTGCAAAAGTCTTATCATTATTTTCATCTCCTCCTCCCACTACTGAGTATTGTTGACGAACTGATCGATGAACGGTAGCCATTACTTCTAGGCACGTGTACTCTTAGAGAAGTATCTTCAGACTACTGGAGCGCGCTCTTAAGCATGGCATGGCATGGCGGCTGACCGATCGTAACTTAAATTTTTCATACTGTAAGGTTACCTATATGTAGCTAAGCCAAAAAACTGTGAAGTGGAGAGAGCAATATAATATTCAACGCAGTGTACAAAGTATTGTTAGTATGGCTCCAAGAGTAAATATTTCCGATGAGTGATGTTTAATTCTGGTACTATTGATACTACTAGTATGTATTGAGTTCGAGTACTCATACATTGGTATACTGTATATCGATATACTGTATCAATATTGAAGAGGTTGAGGTTGTATGTTGTTTCAATTTGTGTTGGTGTTCAGGCCAGGCCAAGCCAGTCCAGGCCCGGTAGTAAGTATCCTAGGTAGTTAGTTATCTAATCCCAGTACCTGCCTTAAAGCCTGCAAGCTTGTCTTTTAGGGTCCACTTTCACTTTCCCATTCATCGCAATTTCATCAACATCCATCCATCACACTAACTTCATTCAATTTCATTCAACTTCATCTCCAAAATACTTACAGTATCAACAAAATCACTCTTAATAACGATATTATTTTGATCCGATACACATATCATAATCGCTCTTCCTTCCGTCTTTCAAGAAGAGAGAGTATTTCATTACTACTGTACTCGAGTATACCATATCTCTGATAGATAGGTTGCATACAGTACTCTTCTTGAGTGGATAAGCAAGCCCCTCATCTATAGAGACCCTCCTACAGGGAGCTTCATACTCAAAAAGACAATGTCGCCAACATGAAGCTGGGTAAATTAGCCTACAAATCGAGTTTCTCTATCCTCTACGTTGTAATAGCAGGTTTACTTTTCGTTACCCCTATCGAAACCTTTCTCCAAGCCAGAGAGAACCACCAATTATACAATATCTTTGTGATCGTATCCTGCTATGCGGCTACCCTTTTTTTCGGCGTCATCCTTTTAGCCACGAGAATTTGGACTGATCGACAAATTATAAAAGCAATACCGAAAACATGGATACCCGTCGAAAAGGGCGATGTCAACAAGAAGGTTCGGAAGATGATTGTGGCGAGCCTGGCGCGAAGTGCTGCCATAGCATGGGATTCACGACCGCGAATTGATCAGCATGGGATTACAATAGTATCGACGCAAGACCCACCATATTCAGTGACAATAGCTGCTGATAATAGTCGTTTTGAGCAAGAGAAAAGGCCGCATGAAGCCACAATCATCATACCACCCAAAGAACCCGTTTGGGGTCAAATTTCACACAACGGATGGTCTTCTCCAACCTCTGCGGATCTGCCAAGTTTACAATACATCACTGTAATCCTCGAATTACCGCATTTAATCGAAGCAAAAGCAGTATCTCTAGCACCCCCAGATCCACAATCGACGTCCCAACCGCCTATGCCTGATCTCCGAGCAGTCGATATTCTTCAACGACCAACTGCTATGTGCTTGCGCGACTATATCAGTCATCTTACCGATTTTGGTGTAACCAGTGATCCCTCCATCGCTACATCTTTCCTTTCGGCCTACGAATACGCCCGATTCTCCTCCAACACCATCAGCGAAGTCGAGTTTCGCGACTTAATGAAACAATTCGCAGAACTTCTTCGCAGCATGGAACCACTCAGTCCCGCGATTATTATGAGTCTCACGATTGACGATCAAGAGAGCGATATTGACGATGACGCATCATCTAGTTCTACTCCTATTACTCCACAAAGTCGTTCGATTGCATCATCCTTGAGAAGTGTCAGTATCCGCAGTGGCAGTGAAGGAACCATTCGAACGGCGCCCTCTCGCAGACTCGGCACGGACCACACAAACTCTAATAGGTCCCGTGTTGGCACAGATCCTGTTACTCCCCGAAGCAAAAAGGGTGAATTCTTCAGGTCGCGAAGCCAGGGCGAGGGCTTGTATTCTAGCAGAAGCTCAAGTTCTAGTATGAGGTCTACAAGTCAAACAAGTGTGATCAAGTTGAGCAGAGTCGAGACAGGAGGTTCATTAACTTATGAGCTTAATATACCCAGGGTGCACTGATATTTCGGTCGCCTTTTTATTTTAATTTTTGAATCGTCATTAGCGCTGGAGTACGGATTAGAACAAATGGCCTACAATAGGCATGGGGAACGTCTAAATATATTCCTATAATCTTCAATGATAATTTACAATTACTTCTTCGCCACATGCAGACTCTCCACTTCATCTCCATCCAAGTCAAAGTCGGCTTCCTCAATCTTATTCTCATAGTAGAAAGCTTGTCGTTTTCCCTTAGTAAGAGCCAGGGACTCACAACTGAACTGATCCTGAATCGAAATGGATATCGTGGCCACTCCCATTCATCTTCTTCAATTTTCGACCAAGAGGCTTTCAAGGGAAATGGCATGGAGGTAAAATGTCGTCATCGAACTTGCAAATGATTGTTCGTCGTACAGCGAATGCCTTGCGACTGTTGGATCATCAGGTGAAAACTTTAGTATCTATTCTCATATGCATTTCAGCCGCAGAAGCACTGCCAGGCAATTGTTGTCTCATGTATGTTGATGTAGCCTCAGGAATTGATGGTTTCAGAATAATCCGGATATGAATGACTTTGCAGCTGTCAAACATAATCAACATCGAGCATGACGAGGATGCTTAACCGTTTAAAATTGGGCATGCATGATGAGGCTTACAAAAAAAGCTATGATCATGTAAGGTTGAGCGAGGTATTGCTATATGGAGATAACATTACAAGATCCTGCTTTGAGGGCGAAAGAGCAATGTTGTGAAGCCCGATGAACACGCGGGGTTGATCATACTTGATGTTCTCCTTGTGAAAGTTCGTGTCAGCTGAAAGGCAGCTGTGCCAGGTTCAAGGAGACGAAAACGTGGTAATGAGCCTCAGTGTCACCCATAGCAATATGCATAATTGACGTTGTGAATAGTTTGAAGGCCATGATTCGTTGATTATTTTTTTACCGAAGTTTCGTGTGTGTAGTGTTTGTGTTATTTAGGGACAATGAAGGGGTAAAACGTGGTGCAGTCGTAATGTTCTGCAACCAAAAGAAAAGGCATGCCAGCCATGTGGATTGGAGGTATTATGTCGTAATGCGCTGATTGAGGGCCAACCATTGTCAATAAACTGAGAATTCGGCCCTTCTTCTGTCAGCGATGTTTATAGTTATCAAGGATATAACAGGACACATACTTATTTGGACCGTTTACGCCTCTTCCCCGCGTTCTAGTCCTAGTGCGATGACTAATTATTGCGAGGCGTTACTCCAAATAGTCTCGTAGCTTTCAAGATACAACCTCATGCTGGCTCTGTTGGCACCCATGCTTTCCTCTGCTGACCAATATTCGTACCCAGGGTTGGGATTGATAGGGTCTGCAGCATACTCTGACGCTCGTTCGGATGAATAGTCATGTTCTTCAGTTGATTGCGAAGATGGAGTATCTTCTGTTTGATAATCAGGCGAGTTGGGTTTCGTTTTTGAGCACCATTTTCCTTTGTCTTTGGAAGAAGAAGACTTGGAACGAGCACTAATTTGACACAACATACATGTTAGTGAGTACTTTTCTTGAGATTGGCATGACTGATATGAGGGAACGAACCTTTTGACAGATGGAGGGTTACTTTTCGTAGACCAAGCATCGGATTGAGCCATTTTGGAGAGTTTAACAGTGCTTTTACGTTTAAGATACGTGATATATTTTGACGAGGAAAGTTTGAAAAGAGTCAAATTGTTTCGGGGCTGCTCAATGTATTGAGTGTGATGGCAGGTTAGAGTATCTCAGTCGAGTGGGAAACGATCAGAATTTATATACTCCCTGGAGCCTCGTAGTAAGGACATACACCTACCGCCCAGTGTTTACAGGAGACAACACAACCATATTGAGTTGTGAATAGGATATCTGTAAGCACAAACAAGGTATTTGGGATCTTGCAACGCCGCATTTCGAACCCCAAGTTAATCATGATAGATGATTGATGAGATCAGTACTGGGTTCAAGGATTCTTGTGGGGTCGAGGATTGTGAAAGTTCCTCAAGTGAGTAGAATGAGTGAGGATGGCATTTGTCGGCACTCTCACCAAAACTGTTAAGAATCCCCGGACTCTTCAGCCAAGATTTAAGGAGAGACTAGGGGTCAGAATACCCTGCGTTGACTATTGCGTGCAGCAGTAGTGTCGTCCGAGGACTGATGCTTGAAAGCTTCGAAGTTTCAGCGCTCACATCTTGGCTCTATCTGTACGGGCGACCAGATCCTTCGGACACAATTTCCTTTTTCGTATATCAAAACGTTTACATGGGTCTAATCTCCAGCTTCACTTATGTGGTATTAGATCGACCAATCATATTGTAGAACAACTGCATATACGAAAAGCATATCTTACAGATCCATGTTCTTGTTGCGTCCGAACCGCCCGCACACCCGGTAGCGCAAATTTCTAGAAGCTTTCGAAGCTTCGCGTCTACATGCATCTTCAACTTGGACGCATATTGGCAGAAAGTTTAGAAACTCTTCAGCAAGTTTCTCTGCCCTGGAGAAGAGACTCTTAATATGGGACGACCATGACTTATTACTTTGTTGCTACAGTATTCTTATTGACCGGATTCAAGTCATACAATGAAATTCGAGTTGACACTATTTTGCTGTTTGTGGAAAACGACAATCTCATCGAATATTTAGTGTGTCAATTACTCGAGTACACGAACTCTGTTTTGCGAAAAGGATATCAACTGTAGCACCAAACTCTCATGGGTCTAAGTGTGCCTACAGCGAATGCCTGCACCTGCATAGCATCTACACTAGCGATCGGGGCTATGCCGATGCGTGGCATGGCTTTGAGGCGGTTAATTGAGTAACTTCCACATCTCTATACTGACACTCTTTTGATAAGAAGACATGGATATTGCATATCGTGTTTGATATTTTAGTAGTATCCTTATGTTCTCCTTCCACAGATTGGTGGTTAGTATCGGAGTTTGATATTTGCTTTCGCATCCGAAACATACACCCTGCTCGCGAAAAAGTATTTTGTTGTATTAAACACAGTCGAAGAGTATTAATATTTTAGAGTCACCGAGTGGGATCCTAGGAACTGGAATACTTCAATATTAACAACAGACATGAAGTCGCACAGGATAGTAGGCCTTGTTAACCCTGCGCAATTAGCTTGGCCAGTCAAAGGTTATGGAAATTATAATGCTACAACTATACCACTACACTATAGGCTTTAGACTTCCTCGCTCCGAGATCATAGAAGTTTTTTGGCCTCGGAGCAAAAAGCTACTTCCCATATTATTGGCTATCAATTGCCAATTTATCGTTGGTAATGGATAAACCCCCTCCCTTGCTACTTTTCCAATCGCAACACTAGTTGTGTAGTGTCGATACCCTCGTTTCACACTCAACTCAATAATCAAAAATGAATACCAGTCGCAGCCTCGGACGACACAACTTCCAGCCTCAATACTCTCCGAACTAGTGGCATCATCGTCCAGTGCTGTGAATACCCCCAGCATTTTATTGCCAGCCCCACACACACTCTAGTCACATTACTGTCTAAATATGCGAATCTCTACATTTGTACCGCCACGAATCCCTACAAAAGACATAAGCTATTATGCGCGATTTGCCGACCTCAATATTTGATGGACCCCCGAGTTCAACCTTTGTTGCCAAGTTACTTCATGCATGAACTTTTCTCTCATGCCTCAGATTTTCCACTCGATTTCTTCCTCATCAGTCGATATCATCACTGCCCGGTTACCTGAGTATCTACTCACTCCAGCAAGACCCCAGCTCCCATCGTCTCACATTTCATCTCCAGTTCAATTATCATATCTCAAAGTGTTATCTGCGCCGTCAAGAAAGCAATCTTTCCGCATCTTTGCCTAATCCAAGAGCAACCCCAAATGTAAAATTTATATCGGTATCACACTATACATGAGGGAGGTACATGTGTAAGTCTCAGTTTTGTTAGTGGCAAATCTTGCTGCACGATGCCTGCTAGGACACGTGCATGCATGCATGCATACACACTCATTTCCTTCTGGAACAAATTTTGGAAGCATGCGGATAAAGGCAAGTCTCGTAGCTTTCGGCAAATCGGCATGTTAGCTAGCTGTCCGTTATTTGTGAATACGGTTTAAGGGATCTTCCAAAAATAATCTGTCATATCTTCTTATTTCATTTTCTTGTCATCCATGCATCACTTTAATACTAGTATTGTCATACTTCGACCCCATAATTTCATGTTTGTCATCATCTATCTGCCCTCATCTCACTGCTTGCAGCTTGCTTTCGGACCCAAATGCACGGTCGCAAGTGCCGGTCCTGACGGATGTACGTAAGAGCGGACGGATTACTAGGGTGGGTCGTTAGGAACGGACCCCGATATGCATTATGTTATCAGATGCGAGAAGAGAATACGAAATAGGAGATGGCAGATGGGAGATGAGAGATGGGGGAAGGTGTCCGGAAACATGGGGGGTTTTAGACCCAGTTTGTTTCATGGGTGAGATGTGCATGCATATGTTCTGTGGATATCGTGGGGGGAGGAGATGCTCTTTAGTAGGTGCCGCGTGGATCTTGGTGGGGGGTGTATTTCTTGATGTATGCAGGTACAGTCCAGATTCCAGATCACACGTTGAAAGTTCAGATGAAGGTTCCGGGGGGGGGGGGGGGTTTGAATGTGGATATGTAATGCAATGTAATGCAGGTACAGTCAAGTCAATCCAAGAAAACAGCATGGAAATCTTACTTTGAAATTCGGGATGACAAGTTCAGATAACAAGACAAGTTCAGATGAAAAATGAACCAATTAAAATGAAAATGAATTTTATTTCGCTTCGTGTCTCAGGGGAGTGAAAAGATGGAATGGGATCGAGATGCTAGCGCGAGAGATCCTCGCACGAGAAGGAAATGGTGCGGTTCTCTATGTTAGGAGCTTGAATGCTAGTGATCTGATCTGCTCCGTGTTATTCTTTTGTCATGCGGCGAGTCCACGATTTAAATAATGGTAGCGGAATCAGCAATCATCAGATTGACGGTCACTCTTCTGGATCTACTCGAGATATCGAACTGAAAACAAATTAGGCGTGGGTTTATTCTGTTGATGTCACCGTAAGGCCCGTGGAGTAGATATTCGAAAGATGTGAAGATGTGAAGATGTGGTCTGAATGAATGAATGAATGAATAATTCAAACGAATACGGTATTTAATCTCCGGTTAATCGAAATGCATTTTCTAGAATTGCCTCGATTCGATGCCCTCATCATCTCATATCTTGATGAAAAACTATATACAAAGAATTTACCTCGTGTCGGATCAGGTGCTTTATACATGACACAACATGTCTTTCCTTTCTCTTCCTTTCTTTTCTTTTCTTCTACCTCCTTCCTCCCACCTATTTTTTCACCATTCATTCTCCACTATCCACTCCAACTATCTCCATCCCCTCCCCTTCCCCGAATCTAATTCCCAACACACTGCGAATACCAATCATTCTGCACCTTACACGTACTGCCCGCGACACACACCGTGCCTCCCGTCCAGCTTTGTCCCCCGCACTGTCCATATAATGCGATTGTACCTGCACCTCCTGTTCCAGTAGGTGTAGTTGAGGATGTAGTGCTCGTGCTTGATTTTGTGATTGTGGTTGGGGTTGAGGCTGGGGTTGAGGTTGTCTTTGTGCATTTTTTTAGTGTGGTGCTTGAGGAAGGAGAAACTGATGAGGAATCTACAACTGAAAGTGCAGGTGTTGAAGAAGAGGAGGGGGAAGAAGAAGAAGAAATTACAGCTGAAGAAACAGCGATTTCTGTAACTGAAGATGGAAGCACAGAACTAGAACTAGAACTAACAACGACAAGCGCAGCAGTATGAGTAGAACTTGAAACCGCACTGGAGATACTCACTTTCACAGGTGTAGAACCCCTTCCAGCAGCGGAAGCCAGAGCCGCAACGACATTGTTGTAGGCCGGGTGAACGGTATAGTCAGCATACCAGAGACACGCATCGCCTTGCCCGGTAAACGTAGACGGGATCCACGAATATTTATCCGTGTAATCCCAGATGGTGAGACCGACGCAGCCATCGACGCTGAGACATGCGTTGACGGTATTGGCGTAGTCGATTCCTTGTTGCGCGAGACCGGCCGCGGTGGGAGGTAGAGTGGTGAAGCGCACGTCGAGTTCTGTGTAGGCGACATCGACGTTGAGCGCGGTGAAGGATTTTAGGGTCGTGGCGAGGCTGCTTTCGCTGGGCGTGGATCCTACGATGAAGTGCCCTTGGAGACCTACTCCGTCGATCTTGATCCCGCGTGCTTGCAGTGATTTGACGAGGTTGAGGGTCGATGTGGCTTTGGCACCCGCTGACTCGATGTTGTAATCGTTGTAGTAAAGCTTGACGTCTGGGTCATAGAGTGCGGCGGTTTCGAATGCAATTGCGATGTATTCGGGACCAATTATATCATAGAACTTGGATTGGTCAGTATCTCGACCAGAAGACTATAATGGTACTCAACAGCCACAAGAAAGCATCGTAGGAACTTACGACAAACGAGCGCCAGGTACCATCATCATTGAATGCCTCATTAACGACATCCCAGGCGTAGCATTTGCCCTTGTAGTAAGTCACTTCATTTTTGATACTGTGGATATGATTAGCGCTAAGAATCTGCAAAAGTGTTGCACCAAACCACGAACTGATTCTTCAAGACTGCAATCAAAGTAGCATTTGTCCACGTGCCCGAGGTAATCCAATTAGGCAACTCATTATACCAACACAAATTATGGCATCGAAGAATCTGATCATTCTTCTCTGCGAAATCGACAACCACATCTCCCTGAGTATAACTGAATTTGTTCTGCGTGGGTTCCGTGTAGACCCATTTTTGTGTATTTCCAGGTGTGATCTGTCCGAATTGGGTGTTGTTGGAGAGAATAGCAGTATATTGCTTATCGGTAAGTTCACCATTGTCTGTGGCGGAACCAAAGTATGTAAGACCCGCAGCCTTGGCAAGCGTATTGAGCTGTCCATAAGCTGAAGGCAATATAGCAAGAGCTATAAGATTGGAAATATGCATTTTGAATAGAAAGGTATGACAAGAAAAGAATGATAAAGAATGTAGTTTTCGAGTGACCTGACTTAGAAATGGTGGTGAGAAAAGGGATAATGGGAAGAGTCCAAAGGTTTTATATGTCTGTCGACCCAGGAACTATTTGAGGGGCACCCCTCAAATAAACTCATTCTTCGGATCGTTTGAAAGAAACATGCCAAAACGACATTTGCCTGTTTCGGATAAATGGCCAAGGGGCATTGTATTTTTCCATACTGGATGAAAGCCCAATATATCCGGAGCGCTTATGTGAATTATAGTGGAGAAACGGAAATGAATTAGGTAGTGACCTAAATTGAGGGCATTTGGGATTAAAATTAAAGTGTATGCAAGATGATTGAAATCCCTGACCTAGCAAAGATCTCGTCTATTTAATCGAATGTGGGGAAATATTTGACCTAATAGGGGCGAGACGAACCCAAAATCGGATCCGACATATGGGATGAAACAAGCTTTTCTCCATGTTGAACCAACCGTCTAACGGCCCGCAACCTTAGATAAAATCAACAACCACTTGCTAATTGTGGCAAAATCCAATACTACCGGCATAGTATGGACGAACTCAAGAACCTATTACCCCGCATTTGATCTTTGGAAGAATTACCCTCCGAGTCAATTGTAGATCCCGGGACTAATATTCCGGTGTCGAATGAAGTACCGCTACTGTGGCTGTTCTCCACTTGGAGTCTGATTGTTTCGTCAACATGAAACCCGACCTTATTTATCAAGAATCATTACCATTGTCCATCTTCCTTTCGAAAAATCTAGTGTGTCTCGAATTATAACTTTGTTGTTCTGAAGCAGGCTCGATATCAACCTGGAAGAGCTCCTGGCAATATAAAAATTACCAGTGAAATGGTTCTGTAATAATTAGCAGACGATTTGAGGCTGAATACCGGCAATTAGACCCCTACCATAAACATATGACAAGGTCTCTCTACCATCCTTATCTTTCCTTAATCTTTTGAGCTATCTAACCTCTATTCATCTTCCCATCGAAATCTTTCATGATGTCTTTCGCACCATTAATACGTTCGGCCATCGGAATTGGCTTCCGGAAAGCCAATGGGGGTACCCCATCAATATATGAGAACTGTATCAAGTTATATGAAGGGGAGTATGGAAGCCGGGGTTGTTGATTGACCGAAGCAGGGACCCGTGGCTTGACTTCTTCAATAGTTCTAATCATGTGAAGACAATTAGATTTGAGATTCGGCTAAATGATAATTCGTTGTGCAAACGGAGGACTAAAGACTTACTTCTCCAACCCACAGTAGCCTTGTATAGATGATGACAAGGATTGAAGCATAGTTACTAAGTGGTGAGACCAAGCTTGGTTCGGTAAAGCTGATGTAGTTGTACTCGAGTAAAAGAGTTATATATTGTGACCTAGGCCTGACAAATGACTATCTTGATAACAGAAGAAGAAACAAGAGATATTTAGATGGCTGTTTTATCAATTCTGTTGTTCGCTATAATTTCTTTAGTCCTCAGAATGTGTAGAGGATGCTTACTGATATATAGACATCTCGGATACCGGCGAGAGAGAGAGACTTGGCCAGCGACAGACACCCTTTTAATTCCCTCTCCCTGAACCTACTCAATGCTGATTAAAGACTGGTTATCATTCGCCAGAAAAAAAGGTTACAGGTCATTCCTTTGGATTTAGTCTTTGTTCCAGGGTCTCGATACAGTGTTCATGATTGCGCCCCGGGATAGATGAAGATTTCAATTGATCTTGACCAATGACAGAAAACCACCTCACCTAGTAAGTCTCCGGGGCATTTCGCAACAAAAAGTGGATCCATCTTTTCACTCCAGCGGATTATCTTGGCACGGAAACTTCTAGATTTGGATCGGTCTGTAGTTCATAATCTGATTCGCAGATTGCGCGAGTAGTTGAGATATAAAGAAGGGCTGAGTGATTTGTTAAACTTTTGTTCATGCAATCGAGACCATACAGCAACTCTATAGGTAGATCCTATAGGCAACATAACTTTCTGGTTCGGATTCGTGTGCGATTTAATTTGGTGTCTGATTCTAGTCCTTGCAGTAGATACTAGTAGCTAGTATACAATAGGATCGTCGATGGTATATCATCTCGCTGGGTAAATCAAATTCTAAGCTTCATCGACTCAATGATCCTAAGTTGGCCAGAACAATCGAATTGTTTAACAAGGATGCTCAAGAGATTCCTATCCTATCAAATGTTCAAGATTTGGGATTTGAAAGGCCAGAACAATCGAAATGTTTAATAAGTACAGTATGTATTGCTCAGTATATTTAAAGGGCTAGAACAATCGAATTGTTTAATTTAACCAGGATACTTTTGGTATCCTATCACATTTTCAGGTTTTGAAGCAGATGGGATGATATTGGGCGATTGAGGAGTTTCCATTGGGATTTGTATGCATGCATGAACAGGTTCGATATAAAACAGCCATAAGTATTCCTGCAAGATGCCATCATGCATATCAATACTTCCACCTGCATTGTCCTGTTACCTGCTCGTCGGCACTTAAATCTTATTAGACGACACAATATAATGCAGTATCGTGACTCGATTCGTGATAGCCTGATCTAGACCTTATAGCCATCTGTCCTGTGATAACTAGCTATCGATTAACTCATATGAAAGTTGATGGGAATAAGATATTGAGCTTGCGTCTTGAGAAATTGCTAGCAAAGTTCTAGACTCAACCGTCTACTCTAGATGAATATCATATTAAAATAGAAAATCATATACCAATACTCGAGTACAGGGGGTAGATAGATAATGCCACCGTTTTCTAAGAGATCTCAGCAACTCTCATTTGCTATCAATGCCGACTCTGCCGCATAGGACGAATGAGGGACCCAAGAAACAGGTCTGAGAGATAACAGGTACGCAAGTACAAAGTAATAATAATTTTCTCTCTCGGCACCTAGTCTCGAGTGACCGACCTCCCTCCGAGTCAAAATTAATTCGAGGTTCGAGATTATCATCTATAAAATAATCGATTGTTTGCCTGTGTACTTGTTATCAACTCCCTACTTTCTACTTTATTCTAGTAGCCGAAAAGTAACCACCGGCACAGTCTCGTTGTTTGTGACATGCCAGGACTCACTGTCGAAACTAACTAATAGCTACTAGTATCAGTATTAGCACTGTAGCTATCAATGAAAAACAGTCGGTTGGTAGTCTCGGGAGCTAATCTCATTATACCATATTCTATCAATTCAGTCGAACGAATACCGGTACTCGTATATACTTCAACGTCCACATGACTTTTGCAATAAACCATACACACCACATCAAGGCATCAACACACAAGAACCTGGTTTAGATGGCAAGTAGAAAGAAGACCATGGCAGCGAACACGTGATCATGACTTCGTATATGCATATGACGTCAAACCCCCTCCCCCCAGTCAGGCTCCTATCCGGTTTTTCGTTTCGATAACTAAAACAACATACGACTTTTCAAATCCATATCCATATATCTAAAACCCAGTAGTCCTCTTCCCTCCCCCTTTCCTCTCAACTTTTCCATCATTTTCTCTACCAAAACTAAAACTCATCTACCACAACAAATACCCAATAAAACTCCCCAGAAAACATCACACACACAAATACAAATGCCTTTTACACTCAACACATCCGCATCATTTGCACTCAGCACCTCAACCTCCTCAGGCGATAACTGGGGACGCGCCTATCAAACACGCACCACGATAAATAAAGACGGCACTACGCACACCAAGCGAACGCAGCGGCTTGGAGAACCGATTGTTGAAGAGACGAAACGGTGGGATGGGAAGGGGAGGAGGGTTTTGGAGGATGGGAGTGTGTATGAGAAGAATGGGAAGGGGAAGGGTTGGGTGCAGGTGCGGGCTCCTGCTGTAAAGGATGTTCAAGGTGCAGAGGGTGAGGGAGGGAGTACGAGGAGGAGAAAAGGAACGATTTTGGGGATGACGTGTGAGCCGAGTAAGAATGTGGTGGGGGATGGGAATGGGTTGGGAAGTAATTTTGGGAAGGGAGGGGTGGGGAAAGGGACGGAAAATTGGTTGGATGGGATTATGGGGAAGGTCGCGAATGATGTGTTGGAGAATAGAGGGAAGGGGAGGATTTTGCAGGTGGTGGAGAGCGAGGAGGAGGATAGTGAGGGAGAATATACTGATAGTGAGGAGTATACTAGTGGAGAGTACACGAGTGATGAAGAGGAAGAGGAAGAAGAGAAACCGATAGCGAAGAAGAGCGCTACGACTACGCAACCAAAAGGCAAGGCTGGGACGCAGAAGCAACAAAAGCCGAAGAGAGAGATGGAAAGAAAGCAGAAACCTACGAAGGCGAAGGTGGTACAGGAGTCTAGTAGCGAGGAAGATGACGAAGATGACGATGGGTATGAAATTGAAGAGGTGTTTTCATCAGATGTGGGGGCCTCGGAGAAATCTGAGGAAGAGGAGGATGATGAAGATGAGGAGGACGATGAACAGGAACAGGAGAAATTACAGCCAAAAACGTCCCTGGAGCAGAAGCCGGTGGAGAAAAAACATGCAGAGAAACAGAATAAGGTGCCGAAAGGAAAGAATTCCAAAAGGAGCGTCGCGATTCCATAAAATCTATTTCGAACTCGTCCTGTAACTAATTGATTAACCAATTAGGAATCTATGGAGGTCATGGTATTAATATATTGTGATATCAATTATGAATAGAAGTCAATACCTCTTGTGACCAATAATTCGCTTGAAAGTAGGGTATTGTATGTTTGACGCTATAAGGGTATATATAGATACGACGACACTTTCAAGCCAAATCATGTCTCGACTGCCAAAGGAGGAAATAGTGCATCCCACGCACATCTGCCCAGCGGAATCTGAGCATCACCGTAAGAAGGATCGGCGCCTCTTATCGCATACTCATACGTTCGGCGCTCTGCTAGAACGCCTATCATGTCAAGTAATAGAGATGCTTTCTCCGGCATGTATGGTTGGAGAAGAATCCCAACGATGCGCACTGCTTCGGCGGCGTGGTATACGGCGCTTATGAGCCGTTCCTTAGCTTCTGGATCTTCGGATTTTGCGAGGTTCCAGGGAGCTTCGTCTTGTAGGTATTTATTAGTCTGTGAGTTTGTGATTAGTATGGTCTTCTGTTGTATACATAGTAGTAGATGTAGTTACTTCAAATACTATATCCATAATAACATGCAGAGCTGCTCCTGGGTTTAGCTCTTGCATTTTGTCGTTAGCTTTGGGGCGAACATTGTTCAATAAATCTATCTGTTGAAAGGTAGAAATGTTTGGATTGGGCAATCCTCCAGAATGTGCAGCTTCCACGCAAGAACGAACATTCCATACTTTTGGTCTGGTCAAACGACTGACAAGGTTACCTAGACCTTTCTGTAACCCCTTCTTATATCTTTCGACGATATGTTCATTACCGTAGCTAGAGTCCTCCTTGATTCCACCATCGTGAATAAGGTAGTATCGCATCGCATCGACGCCAAATCGATCTATGGCAAAGAATGGGTTGACTACGTTCCCTACTGACTTGGACATCTTTTGATTGTCCATTGTCCAGTGGGCATGCGCCATGATTTGCTTTGGTGGTTGTAAATTTAATGCGAGGAGAAATGCTGGCCAATATATGCAGTGAAATCGAACAATATCCTTTCCAATGACTTGTACATCTGCAGGCCATCCGCCTGCAGTCTCTTTTCCTGGCGCCCATGGATAGCCAGCTTTTGTAATATAATTGACTAGTGCATCGAGCCACACATATATCGTCTGACTTTCATCATCTGGAACTCGAATACCCCAGCTCAGACGATCGGAGGGACGAGATATCGAAAGGTCTTGTAAGCCTCTAGATACTTCATTGACCACATCCTTCATGCGAGTCAATGGCACAACAAAATCGGGATTCTTTTCGTAGAACTCGAGAAGCTGATCTTTGAAGGCAGATAGTCGAAAGTGGTAATTCTTTTCCGATGTCCACTCAACCACTTTGCCAGTCTCTTGCGAAGCAATAAATGTAACACCAGTATAGGGGTCCAACCTCTTCTCAATGGCCGACTCGGGGTAGAATGTCTCATCACTAACGCAGTACCACCCTTCGTGTTTTGACTCGTATATGTATTCCCTTTCCTTCAGCATATACCAGATATATTCTACTGCCTCTTTGTGATCCTGATCAGTCGTCCGGACAAAATGGTCGTTCGAAAGTCCTGCTCGCTGTGCCAATTTTTTAAATGTCTCGGCGCCAATGTCGCAGAATTCCTTAGGCAGTGTACCTGCTTGGGCAGCAGCTCGTTGAATCTTCATGCCATGTTCGTCTGTCCCCGTGCATAGGATTGCCTTCTCGCCTTTTAGAACATGCCATCGTTTGAGGACGTCCGCGAGGACCATGGTATATAGGTGACCAACATGAGGTTCTGATAATGATCTAATTAGCTTAGGATAGTGCACTGGAGCAACATCATCCAGACTTACCAGCATTAACATAGAAAATTGGTGTGGTCACATAGTATGGCTTCTTCGAGTTTGTCACAGAGGAATAATACCTAGCTTTTGGGATGGGTACCGCCCTACATGAGCTACATACCCAGCCAGCCTTCAGTAATGATCTGGCTCTGGACTGCGAAGAGCCCCGGAGTAAGGGATTGAGGCCATACATCTGAATAAATTGCGCTTACTGAAGCTCAATTTATTGGATAGCAAGAGAGAGAGAGTTAAGACTCAAGAGCCATCGAAATATTACTAACCTTACTGTATGTAGCGTTCGGGAAAGCGGCGCTGCGGCCGTAATATCCGCCCCCGCGTTTTTCTCAAAACCTTTAAATCCTACCTAGTTGAGCTTCACTTCACGTCATTATCAACGACAAAGACGCACCAGAAAAATATCAAAGTTTGTTTCGTTTTTAAACAATTATCTCCTATTCATTTATCGTGTTGTGATATATTTCCTTTTCTTGGATATCTACAACCGCATCTTGCGAATTACAATGTCCGACCCTTCAGGGGATACCCAAGCCGAGTTGGCTACCAAAGGTACTTGTTTGCATGCCCTTGGGCAATCACATAAGTCATCATACTAATATTAATACTCCAGCTGCCGACATTTTTGTCGAAAGCTTCTACGAAGCTCTAAATAAACCCAATACCCGCTCAACCATCACATCCTTCTATATCAAGCCTTCCGCCCTAGCCCCCGCGGAAGCCTCCATAACCCTCAACGGAAACGCCATACCAACGCCCTCCGCTTTTCAGGAAACTTTTACGAATAAAATTGGCAAAACCACATATGAAGCGCAATCATATGATGCTCATGTCATTAACCCAAACTACAACATAGGGGTTGAGGAAAGTAAGCTTGGGGGGGATAAGGATGGAAAGAAAATTAGCATCGTGGTTATGGTAAATGGGCAGGTGAAATATTCGTCGAAGAATGGGGATGAAGGGGAGGAGAGAAGTTTTATGGAGACTTTTGTGTTGGTGCCGAATATGGAAGCGAGGAATCAAAAGGCACCGAAAGGGATTAAGAAGTGGTTGATTCGGAGCCAGGTGTTTAGATTGGTGCTCTGAGGTGCAGCAAAGCAAAACGAAGAGATATATGGAATGCTGGAACCGTATGAGACCATACGCCCATCTAGATATCCTAGGAAATCACCTGTTGCAAGCAGATAACTGCTTGACACCCTCTCGTGTTATCATACAATCACTATATTGTTACACAATGCACACATCATCGACGCCTGGCCTCTAGCGGATCCAATTTGGGGGTTTCCCGGCGCGAGTCCTCTACCTGAGCGATCGGCGACCATTGAGAGGAGCTATAAGATCTGAGGATCTGCCGATTATGAGGAGATGGCATTGGATAATTACAGACTTTTAGATAATCACCCACCGAGAAGGCGACCCAGTTGATAGTTTAGTGGGTATGATTTGCAGGCCGCCATGTTCGTCCTATATCTGCATCTTAATGAATCCAAGGGAGCAGTCATACCTCAAATCTTACAGACGATCTTGCCAGAGTAACACATTTCTTCTTTCGGTGACTTGCATCCGCATTCTATATCATTTACAATACAGTTAGTTCTTTTGGCCAAAATATGCAGTGAGCAACCCTCCCCCGTGAAATTATCAGAAGAAAAGTCTTCGTCTTCACTATTCTTATGAGTCCAAATATTGAGCGTTCTTTTCAGTGTTAAACGAACGTCAAATGATCTGGGTATTTCGGGCTTCCATGTCGTCTCTATATTCACTGTCAAGTTTCAGTTTTAAACTCCCTTCTAGTTTCGTCTCGGCTGCTAACTTGAAGTTACTTCTTTGTTTTTCTAACACCAACTTCTTCGATCTTACACCTACTACGCTTCACTTTGGAGCAAGTACCTCGCCGACTTGAAATATCTCCAAATTACTTCAATTGCATTTGCTCGTCGCAATTATCTACCATCCATTCAATGCCCAAATTTGTCTTTCCATTATTCACTTAAGAGGGTATTGATACTCTAAAGCTTCCCAAATATACTTTGGTTTTATCGACTGCTTTCTAACCCAACCTTCGATCAGAACCTCCAAGAAGCTCAGCACTTCCTCTCCAATATTCTTGCATATCCCAGACACTACAACCAAATAAATGTTCTTATAAGACTCTCTCAACGTTAATCACCATGAAGATCCCATCAGGTTTACTTGACTTTGATGGAAAAGCTGTCAAGGGAGAAATCAGCTTGAAAGGTGGTAACAACACGAAGCTCCACGAAGAGGGCATAAAGCAGGAAGGCAATCGCTTCACCTGCTACGCTCTAACCTCGAAAAACGATGCCATCACACCATGCTTGGCCATCAACTCTGGCGTTGTCGAGTTTGTTGATGTTGTCGTCGATGGTATCTTACGAGCTTCGCACAGCAACGACAAGCCCACCGCTCAGTTCAGTAAGAACTTCAATGATTTGTTTGTAGGTCAAGTTAAAGAAGGTAACAAATATTCCACCAAAACTTATCAATTACAAGTAGCAAAGCGCAATACCGAAAAATGTCAGTTATCCGTCCTTCCTAATGGTTGTTGTACTAAATTGTCGAACAGCACGATTCGTCCAGGGCAGCAAACCTTCCGCAGTCAGCAGCATCGAAATGCAAATATTCCGACGAGATCCCAATGCTCATAAGGCTCACTCAAAAGACTCAGATTCAGATTCCTCTTCCTCCTCCTCCTCCTCCTCATCATCATCATCATCATCAAGCGAAGGAACCCGAGATCTCGGCGATGCACAACGTGCACCCACATTCGAAGATTATGCGGAATGGTGGCACCTTAACCCATGTGTTGATGAAGATGCAATTGCTCCTCCACCTTTTGAAGTCGCCGGTGTTAATCACAAAAACTTGACTGGTCCTGCCATGAAAAACGCCAAAAACCGTATTTTGAAGAAATGGCCAGGCGATTTCAAGCTTTGGGCCTCATTCAAATTCTTGCTCTTTTCTACAGCAGACTTTTACACGTTGGGCTTCCTCGATACCCCAGATTATAATGGAACTCCATGGAACGAACCAAAATCTACTTCGAAGAAATCGACCGTGAAGGATGTTACCCAGATCTCAAAGTCTACTCCATCTATTGATGTCGAGGCTGATGCTACTGAAGAGTATGATGGCGCTGCAGATATTCTGGTATCAAAGCCGGAGGGTGGCCTTGATGAGGCAGTAGAGACTGTCAAAGGCAAGGAAATTCGCAGGAAGACTTATAACACCGGTGTTTCTGAAGGGCTTGAAGTATCTTCTCTGCTGGCTAATCTAATGGAAACAGCTGGAAGACAGAACAGGATCATCCAAGATTCTTATTCATCGGATTTCCGTTACGAAAGCCCTGATATTGAAATTATCGCAACTGTTTCCAGGCCTGTTCATCTTTCAGATGGTTCTCAAATTATTGGCTCTAGCGAACCGGCAGACACCGTACTTTCTGTACCGAGCATTAAGGTTGAGAAAGCTAAATTGGACATTAATGATGTTGATCAAGACAATAATGTTCGCACAAACCGCCAGAAACAGAAACCAGTGTCCATGCCCGGTATTGAAGGAGCTCCAGCATACAAAGCCTGGAAAGATCCTACTCGCTCTGAATGGAATCAGCGCAACATATCAGGTCCGGATTCAGACAACATTTCTACGGTCATTATTGATCAATTGCATACCGAGCAAGACCCCATCTTGTCAGACAAGGCTCAGCTTTTAATTTCGGACAACTTGAGGCAGTCCTCTGTGCCATGTGTGATTGGAGAAACCACCGAGAAAGACAAGGCGGCTCGCTTTAAGTCACTTAGTGTTGAGGCGAGTGGTTTATCTTGGGAGCCAATGACCCCTCCTCCAACTTCGAAGAAGCAAGGTACCAAGCACTTTACCAATTTTGGAGGTGAAAGCCGACGTGTATTGTCAGGAGATTTACATGGTGCAAAGCAATATGAATCTGCAGCTCGTGCTATTGTTACCGAAGATGATTATAGCGACAATAGTAGTCGTGAGGCCAGTCCATCCATTGACTATCGTCAGAGAATCGCGGAAAAGAAAACCGAAAAGATCAAGCAACGTGGTCTAGGATTCACCTTCGAATCACCAGCCCCAGATCAAGAGGAAGCAGTCCCGTCTTCAAACATCGATTTGATGGAAACAAATTTTGATGAGTTTATTAATGACTCTACCCAGCCTGAAGATACAGAAATGATCGATGCTATCGAAACCAAACTTGAACCAAAAGTCAGATCGCCATCACCTATGGTCAATCCTCAATTTCAAGTCACAAAACAAGTCCAAGATTCTATGATTATGGTCTCACCTTTGCAATCTCAAGACTTGACCACCTCTCAGAAGGGTCAAGCAGGATCTCAAACACCAACAGAAGACGTCGATCCAAGCTTAATTGAAGATATCGCGAAGGTTAAAAAGACCAACCAAGCCAAACGATATCCATCAAGTGCCATCCCTGAAGCTGAATCTGAAGAATCTAAAGAAGCAGATCAGCCCGAAGTCCCGCTAGACACCGAGATGACTGATTTCAACAGAAAAGTTGTGCCTACCGAAACCAAGACGTCTAACGGTAAATTCGATGATGCACCAGTCGATATTGGAAATCAACAGGATGGCCCACAAGATCCTTCTTCTCCTTCTGGGGTTGACGAGTCTACCATAGCAGTTGCTCCGGTTAAGCCAGCCAAACAACCAAAGACAAGAGCACCAGCTGCTACCAAATTATCCTCTACCTCGAAGACATCATCTGTTCCAAAGACTCCGTCCGCCCCCGTTTCAAAAGCACCAGCTTCCCAGAAAACACCCGCTGCTCAAAAGTCGCCGGCTGTAAAAATCGAAAAGTCTTCGGCAGGACAGTCAGCACCAGTTAAGCCTGAACAATCTCAGGCCAGGGCAAAGAAGCCAGCGCCAAAGACTTCCAAGGCTCCAAGCGCCCCAAAGATATCAAAGGCTGCAGCATCCGCCAGCTCTGAAGAACCCACATCTAAATCCAAGAGCAAAGGCAAAGCTAGGGCCGGAGCAAATGGTAAGCGTAAAGCCGATCAGATGACATCCGCTATCACTAGTTCAGGACCAAACAAGACAAATGCATCTCCTGCTCTGAAGCAAACTTCTATCGTCGAACGTGAGACTGCCGCAGCGGAAGCACGTATGCAAGCAGCGGCCGAGAGAAAGAAAGCTTTGGAAGAGGAGTTGCAGGCAACCCGGGGTATGAAAGTGCAGTTGGAAAAGGTGAGTTGCTAAAATCGCAAATATTTTTAGAACAAGTGACTAACTCGTTGACAGGCAAATGAGATCAATAGACAGGCCCAAGCTATAGAGGATGAAAATGCTGCGTTGGAGGCAAGTTTCTTACTCTTTAGTTGATTGTATATGCTAATTTCATGAACTTGCAGGCTGAAATTAGGAGAATCGCTGCACAATACAATGAGGAGTAAGCTTACTGGACCAAGTCGAACCAACATACCAAACTGGGAAGCTTATGATACAAGGCCGTAGTTCGTCATCTTCTACACTGGCAGTAATACTGCCTTCCGTATTCAAGGATGACTTGTTATCACCTCACTATTCTCCCTTGTACCAAATTTTCGCATATTTGCTTTATCGTTTTTCTCTAAGAACATCCAAGGAGTTGATTGTTGAATGTTCATTGCTTCGTTCCTACACTTTTGACAACAATTCTTTCATGTAGCGATGACTCCATGAGCCATTTTCTCTAGGCAGGTTGAGGCCGTCAGTCAATACCCGAAAGCAACCATTGTCACCAATACTTGCGAGGGGAAGGGGAGAACACCATACCACAGGCGTACTTATTGAAAGGCGTTTTATTGCTACTCACTATTTTTTCCCCCACTTTACTTTTCATGTGGCTGCATCTGAAACAGCATTATTTTTGAGGGGGGTAAGGTCTGGCGGATATTGATACTTTTCATGGCGGTCTTATTGGGACGTCGAAGAGCGAGAAGTTAAGAACAGAAAGATGAATCTGCATGAGAAGACGTCATGAGATTTAATGGATGGATAACATGAAACAACCGAGTCAAAGCTGTGATATAAGAAAATATATTCATATCAATGCATGCTGACCATAAGTGACCTGACGCCTTCCAGATCAAAAATATAAACTCCGAAGTACTGACTGCAAGCCAATCCTCCCCAACAGACCCATAGCTGTCGTGACTTTCATGGTTTTTTCGGTACTCGTAAGTTTGCTTTAACTCTCTCTAATAGCTGCTCTTTGGTATCTTTGCTTTGTGGATGAAGATCTCTCTGTAGAGGTTATTGTTAATTTCGATGAGTGATGTACTTAAAGCAAATGAAGAAAAGAGCTCCAAGAATACTAACAGCGGCCAACCATCTTCGTAATTCTTCTCTTGACCATGTTTCTGGATCTGTTACTGATTAGTATGATACGATCAGTTAGTTGACGACTGGAGCATGCATACCACCAGTGGGATCTTCCTCCTTTGGAAACATATCAGTGCCCCAGATGGACCATACTGCAGCTGCAGTCACAATCCCCGTGAAAACTAGTACTGCATTCTATAACGTTTTAGTTGAGTGCCTTTGAGTTGATAGTGAATGGAACTAACTTTGGAACTTAGAGCTCTGTCTATGGGAGTAGGCATCCTTGACAGAGGGGGATGACGTTACTCGACAAGTTGTTGATACTTTTGAAAGTTTTCTCTTCTCCAACACAACTATTTGAATCAGTAAATGAAAGATAAGGCTTACTGAAGTCTGATTTTCCGTAAAGACGTATAAATAGACAAGTTATTGAGAAAAGTGATTGCCTAAACCAAGAAAACTGTCCAATCCTCAAAAAGCCACCTTCAGAAGAACAGCCACAAGAACGCCACACCCAATAAATAGACCGTGCATCTTATCGACAAGAAACCCTTCCGTACAATCATAACCGAGTCGGCTTACTAATCTCCACACAATCTGGGATTTTCACATCAACACCCTCAATATCAAGAAGTTCCGATTTTTGTCACTCCCTTTCGCAATACCCGATTATTTCACCAATCTTCGACTAATCAATCCGTCAAAATGCCTCGCGAGATTACCGATATCAAATCCGTGAGTTATTTCCCTTCGGATTGGGCTGTGGAAATGGAGAATGGAATGGGTTTTAAGTTCAAGTGAAAATAGAGGCTAATATTGAATTGAACAGTTCTTGGAGATTTGCAGACGCAAGGATGCTTCCTGTATGTGTTTATTTTTCTATTCTACTCACGGGTTGCACAATCCTTCAATTTCGAATACGGGATAGCTCTAGGGGAATTGAGAATTCGGCAATTGAAGGATGAATGAACTTGCGGAACGGAGCGAACAACGAAGCTACAGGAAACTAATATAGTTTACAATAGCCGCCCGCATAAAGAAGACTGTCGGAAAGACCAGCTCCATCAAGATCAAGGTCAGATGTCAAAAGTACTTGTACACCCTCGTCCTTAAGGATTTGGAGAAGGCCGAGAAGTTGAAGCAAAGTCTTCCACCTAGTATGATTTCCCCTCACTTCCACAATTTAAGCAATTTACTAAAACAAGATTCAGACCTCACCATCGCCGATACCCCAAAGAAGAACGCTAAGGGAAAGAGAGTCGCATAAATGGATGATCAACGAAATGGATGATGGATTCAAGCAGTGGATGAGACAATACAAACAATGATCGCACATTCACAATGAACATGGCCCTGCTATTTAGTGTTGGCAAGATTGTGATGTGATACCCTGCTTTTGTTCTGTTGGAATAGGGTAAAGTAGATTGCGAAAATGAGACAAGTCTTCTGAATCCAAATTTACGGTTGGTTGCATAGGTGAATGAGTGTATATTTCCGCAGGTTTCGATCAAATGTGCAATTGGCACTTGCCACGAACACCCAAGAATACCAATTCAGTTTATTTCTAAGCATTTGCGTTTCCTTCTTGAAGTCAAGGCAGTATTGGCCAATGTGCTTATGCATCGATTTACTCTTTGTAGTCATTGGCGAGAAATTTCTAGCGGATTTTTATGTTTATCGCCAACCCAGAGGCTCGCCAATGATTATATCCTGTTAGGAAAATCCATACTAGAAGCATCGCTACTAGAGCACCATGACTGGAACTTTCAATGTTCAGATCATGACATCCGCTCTTCCTACTCTCATTTTCGTATTCTCATGTTGCCTTGGTAGCAATTAGATGATCGAGGACTCGGTGGCTATCAGCTAGTTGGGTTCGCTGATTGAGCAGCGTGGCTTCAAAGTTAATATCTTATTTGTTCATGTCGAGAAACAGCCCCTCCTCTGTAACAAGACATTGTTCACAATGGACTCTAAATATAGAAAACTCTCATTCTTTGTGCAACTGCTAGCCACAAAGCCTGTTCTTTCATCATTCAATCGTCTTTTCTTTGTTTGCTCCAATATATATCCACTGACAATCCCATTGTCTGCTCTTTTCTCACGTATCTTGATACATATTTTTGACTGCTATCTTCAATACTGTTATTCTTGCATTTATTCTAAGCAGAAGCATTACACATTCAGGACGCAGGTCGTCATTATTACAAGCACAAAATTCAAGGGACGCTCATTTATACCCCCTATTCAAATAGAATCTTCAGGTCAGTTACCCGTTTCCTATTCTAATCAACGACATTGGGCAGGTTCCAAGTCAAGTTTCATTCAATCATACAGCAGTAAGTTAATTTTCTTATCCTGTTCTCACAATGACAATCCACGATTGCCATCTCAACCCATACGCCGCGCAACGAATACTCTGGGCCGGCGACCGCGCCCTCTTTCCCCTCCAACCCTTTTGCTGCACATACTCTCAAGCCGCCGACCTCATCGCCGACAACATCAGCAATGTTCTCCAAGGCCCCACCGGAAACCCCCCTCACGATCCCTTCCAAAGACTCAAGCAAAACTGGAACGCATCGAATCTCTCGGATCTCGCCAATATTGTTAAGAGTCCCTGGTTAAAAGGTAAGAAAGAACAAGATTTACTAGATCTCTATTTTGAATATTTCAACAACATGATTTTTGGCGGCGGTCTAAATGCTCTTAGGTGTACTATGAAACTCGAGGAGCCCACTCGGGAACAGAAGGAACGATCAGTGTTGGGCACAACTGTGGATAAGAGGTCGGAAGCAGATACCACGAAGCATAATATCAGGAGTCATGTGAGTGTTTTTGTGCGGTACCCGGCGCCAGAAACCGAAGCACAGTCAGTGGTACTGTTGAGGAATTATCTGGGCACCATGTTGCATGAGATGGTGCATGCGTTTTTTAGCATCTATGTCTGTAAATGTAACACGGTGTGTCGAGATAAGGTGTTGGAATTTGAGCAGAGTGGCCATACGGGTCATGGTATGAACTGGCAAAATGCAGCGAGGAGTATCGAGAGGTTTGTGCGTCACGGACTAAGGTTGGATATTCGATTAGGGAGGGAAGAAGCCCTGGGCTTGGAACTGGTGATGGCGGATAAGCAGCTGTGGTTAGTGGATTTGGAGAAGCTGGGCATGGATGAGGAAGTGGTAGATCGCGAGATGGATTGGTATGCGTCTATCTTCATCGAGGAACTGGAGGAGCGAAAGAGGATCGAGCGGGAGAATGATGAGCGCTTGCAGAAATTGGAAGAGGAGCGCTTGGAGAGGGAAGAACAGGAAGAAGAAGCGAGGCGGAAGTGGGAGGCGGAAAGACCGGCGCGAGAAGCAAAGGCGAAGAAGGATCTGAGAGATAAGAGAATACTCTTGCTTAATGATTTGCGATTGAAAAGTAGGCGCGCTAATTGGAATGGCGTTTTCAAACGTCTCTCTAAACCAATCCTTAAGCCTATTCCTTCACCTCCACCCCCTCCTCCACCTTCTTCACCCGGAGCTCCCACCCCACCTCCTCCACCTCCTCCACCTCCTCCCTCAAACCCAAACCCAAACCCAAACCCAAATCCAATCCCAACCCCTAACTTCCTCCTCGCCCGCCGCTCCCACTCCCCCTCCCACCGCAGCAAAGCCGCCCAAAAAGCCATCATCAAAAACAGCAAAATACCCACGTCCGCATATCCCTACATAAACCGCACCATTAACCCCAATATCCCCAATATCCCCACAGCCAAACCCATGAAATATAAAACCGCGTCGAATATTCAGAAACGGACGTATGAGAATAAATCTACAGCGATATCTACCGTGGCAAAGGCTAGGAGATTGAGGGCCCATGTTGCAAATGCAAAGGTGTTGGATCTCGAGAAGTTGTGGGGACTGGATGGGGTGGCGAGAGAGGTGTGGAGACTAAGGGGGTATTGAGGGGGCTGGGTTGTTATTTGAGCATGTGAGTGAGTATATGATTTATTATTTTTCATATGTTTTTTATTTATATATAATTTTTAATATTTAATTGGTGTTTCAGTGTATATGTGGTTAGTATCTCATCGTGTGTAATTACTATGAAGTGAAGTGTATATAAGAAGAAAGAAAACTATCCAATGAATCCCCAAAGTCGACCCCTAATCTCAATTGCAATCACCCACGCTTTGATATCTCGTAGAATCAGAACATATATATATATATATATCCCATCAACATGAAACTAAACGAGTAGATACTGAACAAATCATAACCCAAAGCTGAACATGATACATCTTTACTCAGTAGAGGAAGAGAGGACAGGAACATCTCGATATTAGAATTACATTCGAAAACAAAAAACAATGCTTTCTTGCCTGGAGAAGGAAAACTTGGAAAGAAAGAAAGAAAGAAAGAAAGAAAGAAACTCACCACTCACCACTCACCACTCGACAAGAAAGTCTATCTAAAATTACATTACCAGCACAAAGAAGCTTTACCGGGGATAAAGAGAAGAAACTCACCAGTAAGAAGTGATAGACTCCGGGGGTGCTGTAATGATATTTTTGTTTCTTTTTGGAAGTACCTATAGGTAACAGTAGGTAGATATGTAGTTAGGTGAGGTACCTGCCTGCCTACTTTCATAGAATCAATAATATTAAGTACTAGATGGAATTCTAGTCCCAAATATTATATCAGACATGCACATTTCTCCCTCCATCCATCCATCCTGCATTAACTTTTAACAAACTATATACAATCATCACAAAACACCATCCATACAAACCCTATGCATTCCAAAAAAATCCCCCCCTTCAAATACTCCTTGCCAGCACCAGCACCAGCGCCAGCGCCAGTGCCCGCGCCCTCTAAATGCACATCCATCGCTACCAATATCGAATCTCCCATCTCCCATCTCCCATCTCCAATATCCAAAGTGCCCGATCCCTTCGCCACGCTGAAATCCATGCTAAACTATACTATACTATAACTATATAATCCGATACATACACACATACATACATACACACACATCTCCAATAAACAAAAGGTAACAAATACCGGTACGAATATCGCCAAACCAAATGACAAGCAAAGTGGAGAGTATATAAACCATCCATCCATCCACCACCAACTATAATACCTCCTCACACACACGCAAAATTAATATGTAAGAGTGGGTTATCGAAATCCCTCGTCAATGCCAATATATTGCATAAGATCATTTGCACCGCGCAATGCTCTTTCGGTTCCCGGCCCAGGACTTTGACCGCATCCTGCGTGGGGATGATGACTTTGGTGTACCTTTTTTCCCCATATGCTCTCACTCTCCCTCTCCCTTTCTCCGTCCCTCCAATGACCCATCCCCTCCACCAACCTCTGCTGCAGCGGCCTCAGCACCGGCACCTCCACCTCCCTCCGCACTCTAAAAAACTCCAAATTCGCCCTCATACTACACAACCTCAACCAATCCCCACCAATCCACCTCTCCACCCACGCATCAATAACCCCCAGCACGCGATGAAAACCATCCGTATGCCCCCCCATTTCCTTAGCTCCAAATCCACATTTGACAAAGAGATAACAATGCACCAATTCATGCAATAACGCACTCAACAATAATCGGCCATCGTATTGAGGATCGCGCAAAATAGGTTCCGATAAAACAATCAAGGTTTCGAAGCCGCCAAAAGAAGCGAGACGAAGAGCCGTGGTGCCGATTAGCTCGGATGAATAGCGAGGTTGGGAGGGCGAGGACCAGGAGAGACGCACGCGGTTGTGGAGGGAATGTCGGAAGAATATGGTGTCGATTAGGTAGATGATGCGGTCGATGGCACGGTCTGAGAGATAGGCTTTGAGGAGAAGATTGCGGAGTTCGAACTCGAGGTGGATATGATTTGGAGGTGGGTCATAGTGGAAGTAATCTTGAATGAGATTGGCGGCTTGGTCGTCGCTCAAAATGGTGTTATCGTGGAGAGCAGTAGAAGGTATTGAAACATAGTCATCGGAAACAATCGAGTCCCCGGACAAAGTTCGTTCCATGACCGGAGCCATGAAAATTTCAAGAGGCGGCGTGGGGGAGAAAACATATGGGAGGGAGTTTTTTATTGGGATCGGTGTTCGTTGATGGTATTGCCAAATTTGCCGTATAGGAGGTCTAAGGTGTGAACTGCTCGAACTGCATCTCTCTCGCTGTAAACGAGGATCTCTCTGAAGTTTGGCCTTGACTTTTTCAATACGGTGCCACGAATGTGACCTTTTACCGTCCGTACTTACGCTCCTCTGGGTATAAGCAGGAGCCATGAAGAATAAAGGAAAAAAGGACGGACGAAACACTGACTTTGTCACCTCAGGAGGAAGTGGAAAGTAAGCCGTGGTATATTATTTTCGGACAAGACAAAGCTCACACTACTGGCATGAGAAAGCTGCATATGCCACACGACGTATGCACAGTGTGAGGCTTACTCGGGTTAATATTGAATTAGCCCTGTCACCGCTTCCAAGATGCAGAGCTCTCGAAGTACATAAGGGAAACAGATTGACAACATGGATATGCTTTTTCGTAGTTTTATTATACCCAAAATAAACATGAGGCTGAGAGAATATATTTTTTGGGAAATTCTAAGACTTTGCTTGCCAAAGTTGACTACCTTAATTGATAATAAAGTGGAAGGAAATATCAGATGTGGAGATGAGCTCCAACCACCATAATCCTTCAAAACTCAACGATTCTTTCACTTGGGGAATCGTTGATCGTTGATGAACGGATTATGCGGAAATTTCCAAGGTTGTGAATTTAGTTGGGGTTTCTAGGTGTTATGCGTGTGTTGCTTGTGCAGTGACAGCGGGCGATCCGAAACCCCCAAGCAGAGCAGTTAAAAAAAAGTTACACACCGCTTCGCCTCATGTGTGAGATTCAAATAAAGACACAGTATTAAATAACCTTTTCGTACCGTCAACGGATTAATAGAACCTTCCCGTCGTTAGCCCTTTCAAATCAATGTGTGAATCGTAAAGTTCATTGCAATTTCTCCTGTACCAAAAAGTATCAAAGAAATTTTAATACTACTTAGTACTTACTACTGAGTATGGACTCGTAGTACAGTATTAGAAATCTAATACAGCTAGGCACTTAAAGTTCCTTGACGCTAATGTAACTTTAATCTGATCTTGTTGCCGAATTGTTCGCCTCGTTTGAAGTGATAGGTCTAAAATCAATCTGACACCTTTCCAACCGAACTTACAAACCAAACCACACATGCTGGACAAAATTCATTTAATTGCCACCCGTCCAGATCAAACCTGAGATGATAATCAAGTAGTACCGCCCTGTAAAAGGATACATATGTAAGTACGAGCGAGCTAGTCACAACAGACCAATAAGTATATGTATACGACCGCAAATCCGAGTAACAAGGCTACCATTCAGAAATGACCCGAAAATTATAAGATACATGATCTTCGTCCCAAGATGTCTCAGGACGCTCAACTGGTTCAGAATCTTCGAAATTCCATACAAGGTAGATGCTTGCTATGAAGCTAGATGTAAGGAGACATCCAATCCCATATAAAAACCTATTCAGCATGTACCCCAACAGGCCCCACATTCACCTAGAACTATGAACTTCATCCCACCGTTTTGAGTGCAGATTGTGATTTCCGTTGAACAAGGACCCGTGAAATCGTACAGCCTTATTCTCCGATCGGCATACGAATACTGGCAATCTTTCACATTTTAGGAATTAGAGCCTTTTGAGGAAGCTGTGGTCAACATCTCACGAAATGTGGTCCTGGGAACTTGGCCTGGTATCACAGGGTGTATCGCGGATTCCCTGTTGTGCTGGGTAGATATCGCCTGACCATATCAAATGGTCTAAAAATCGAGGATAATCCGTATGTACAGTGCCCATTTCGTTGCTGTGCAGCAAGAATATACGGACCATTGACCCTGACCAATTCTCAAGAGTCCAACTTTAGTGTGAACATATTTGAGAAATTGTTTGGGGAACATAACCCGCTAAAGATGTCACACAAACCCCAGTCCTAAACCTCTCACGTACCTAACCTCATTCGCCTGCATCTCCAGTGCTCTTCTCATAGTTGCTGCATGGGTAAGTTCTTCCTTTTCCTGAAGAGCCTCCTCGGCAGTTTTGGAGGTTTCTTCGAAAGACTCGGCTGTGAAGCCGGGTTTGCGAGAGAAATTTACCAGTCCTATTTTGTCTCCTGTCCACAAAACAAGATCATTTTCGTTGATGGGCCGCTCATCGAGCCCAGAGTCAGTTGTCTGAATCTTGATCGCGATGTCTGCAGATCCCAGACCCATGTAAGAGTCGCCCAGTGTGCCGAATATACCCCTTGGAGCTTCAATAGAATCATGGGCAATATTCCATCTTCGAGCCTCAGTGAATCCATCCCTCTCGAACCACTTTATATTACCCCCACCGTCAGAAACAACAATACGGGTACCGTGGTTGGTAACAGATAAGAGTTTAGAGCTAGACGATGTTTGACGATTCTTCATGGTAGATTCTTGCATCCGCCCTGCGGAGAATTGGGAGGATACATTGGACGGATCTGCATCAGAGCATAGACCATACATTTCCAGCGAGCCTTTACTATTGTACTCACCGCAAGCAATCAGGGTTTTCCCTGGTCTAGTCTTCGCCTGCCATACCTGCTCAACAGAAAGTTCACCCCGACGGGCGAGGTCCTTCTCCATCGATGCAAAAGGGTATGGAAGCGTAGCGATTTGAGACAATCGTGCACCAGAATGAATCGTTCCTCGAAGTTTGGAGAAATTTCTGCGATCATAATGGAGAATGCTTGGAAATCGCCCAGCAACGTAAATATCTCCAGTACCATCACATTCATTCCCTGAAACGGGTAGGTGCACAATACTAAGCGGACCCGGCTGATACAAGTGGGCATAAATGGAGCTTGGCTCTGGATTCAGCAAACCTTTAGAACCAAAAGGCTTGTTTGCAGTGTCAGATGTAACGTTAAACGAATCGAGTCGCTCAGCCAGACTGGGCGATCCCACATTTGTCCTTTGACGAGAATCGTGAAGATACAGAGAAAGATTAGTTCCCACAGTGAGAGGTGTCGGATGTTTAGCCTCAGAAAGAGCAGTGATAGAAAACGGATATCTTTCATGATTCACCGCCTGCAAGGTCTCGAGATCAACTTCAACAAGGCCTGTAATATCGTCAGTCACTATCAGAGACAAAGTAACAGCTTTGAAATCTATTTGCATATCAAGCGTGATAAAGACACTGCTCTGGGGTTTTCAATAGTCCAGACTGCAGTCCAGATTCGAGCCTTCAATATCTAAGGAGCCGCGAGTCTTTGTACATAACGTAATGTTCCGAATGGATTTATGGTATGTGGACTGCATTCAAAAATGAAGAGTCTTCTAGTGTCAGACAACAGTCTGGAATATATGAACCCCCTACACTGCTCTAAAGAATGCAGAGTTCAGAGCACGATGATATGCGAGGGAAGAGGTACCACATACCACTTTGAACGGCAATATAAGCTTTCTTTAAAGTACTGTCAATACTGATACATTCTGTGACACCTGTACTTATCATCTTTGACCTTGTCTTGGGATCTTGCGGATTTTCATCCACCGAAAGAATCCCCGACTTGCTTCTCGCAATTATGCTGCCCTTTTTGAGCGCATTCGCACTGATATCCCAGATACAAATGGAACCATCATCAAGTGGTCTATGTTATCTTGCATTCAGTACGATTCTGCAAGGAAATGAAATTGAGAAACCAGAAATGCTTACGCAACCACCATCGTAGCGCCAGTTTCTCCCCTCGGTGTATATAAAGCCATTCCTCGCACATCCATATATTCGCGACTAGCGCTTTCGCGATTCCTCGGCTGCTGGAGCCAACTTGTTGTTATAGGTGCATTTCTTGCAATATACTCATCATACCAATTGACCTTTTCAGTAGGATAGCTAGGGTCCCAATTCGCCAGTATTCTAATCCTTTCATTGGATTTAGCGTTGAGATTTATAACCTCATGGCGGGGTTTATGGAGTCTTGAATCGCCAGTTCCATTGTTGACAGCAAGAGCTATGGCAAAATCGCGCATACCTGAATCTGACTCGGTTTCTGTAGATATTAATTGTTGACGTCTGCGAAGCTTCTCCAGGAATGAGGAATGCGTAAAGCATTGCTCTCGCCAGAGAGTATCATCACGGCCAAGCTCTAGATATCTCTTGGAAACAAATTGGAATTTGGCGATATCTCGAGGCTCTAGATCTATGAAAGGGATAATATTAGTATTCGTCCATAATGAAGGGACTATAAGAGTATATTTAACATGAAGTAATGTTGATAATGATCTCTGAGGGAAGGTCATCCATATTGGCAATTTTGTAATTTTCTGAATGTCGAGTATATGTAACGAGTAATGAAAGAGAAGTTGAAACATTCAAGATCGCATCATGCTCAGCCGATAAGCCCGATTATGCAGGGCTCGGTCAATGGTCTGTGCATGGACCCATCTCGTCCCTTTTCTTCAACCCCGCTAAACAAAAATAAATATATGGAGTACTCGAAGTATACCTAGGTATGGAGATGGAGTATATGGAGATGGAGTATTCTAAAACCAGATAGATTTAGCATCGATTCTATTATAAAAGTAGATCTCTTTTGGGGGATCATAGAATTAGTAGGGTTCAATTATATTATTAAAAGGTACCGTCGGATACCTAGGTTGATATAGCAATGATAATAAAAAAACATCATCAGATTTCAAGATTTGTGTGAGTGTGCATGGAAAAAGAAACATTAAAACATTAAGATTAATAAAAACAGATATGCACGGAAAATCTATCTACGTAAAGTCGTCGCTTCATGATTTGTGGTCCCTTTTTTGCCTGCTATCCAGGTCTCCCATATTCCACCAGACAATACCCCCGTCCAACCATCTAACCGTCCAATCGTCCAATTCAATTCATGTGTCATAGCTCGTTGTATCCCATTTCTTACCCATCCCATCCTATCCAACCATCCTAACCATCCGACACTCCAAATTCCTTTCCACTTTTCCAAACCATTACGCAACTTCGACATCAGGTATATAAACCCCTTCCTTACACGCCACCACGACTCTTTTGAAGAATCGTCTCCACTCCAACGGATCCCCTTTAACCTTCACAAACCTCACCTCTACCAACTCTGTGTCCTCCGTCTCATAAGTATCCAACACGATTTCTCCATTCAAGCCACATCTTCTACTGTCCACCGCCCGCACCTTAATCCACGCCGCATGCAATTGACTACTTTGCAATTGGGCCAAAGGTGGTACTGGGATATTCATCACATGCAGAGAATCGGATAGGAGAGTTAACAATTGGGGAACGGGGAGATGAGAAAAGAATCGCGTAAGCGAGTAATTAGGGAGAATATCTTGGAACCGGCGAGCATGTTGCGTGAGACGTAGTGAAACGGTGGGATTGGAAGAGAACTGAGACATGGAAGGTTCGTCGGCGAGTGTGGCATCTCCAAAATTAGATACAACTGGCGACGGAAGTTGGGCTTTACTGGTAATGACCTCGGTGGGTTGGGAAGTAGGTAATACACGAGGTGGGCGTTCCCAATCGAACTGCATATCCATGATCGGAGTCTCTGGTTGCGTGAAAGAGAAGTTATGACTGTCGAGTTGCATTGCATCTTGGCTGAGCTGTGATGCGCTGGGCTTTTGTTCGAAGTCGATCCGGAGATTCGCCAACATCTGAGTAGCTAGACCCAGTGGGTCGCTCAATTCGCCATCAGTTGTAAGGAGAGGATTCTTTCGTGTATACCATGGATGGCGTTTGATCTGCTCAAAGTTGAATCGTTTGGGTACATTTACATTCATCATACCTCGTAGTAATGATAGAACCGATGCCGGCAATTTTCGCCATAATTCATCTGAACTTCGCCCCTTAGACTTTATGTATTCATCGAATTCCCAACTTTCGGCAGTAGGTTGATCCCATGGTGTGTTCCCCACCAGGAGCACAAATAACACGACCCCGCACGACCAAATATCCACCATATTTGCAGCATATCCTGCGCCTTTCACCTTCGTCTGAGTACTCCTAGAGCAGGAGATCACCTCTGGGGCAATATATGGAGGGCTTCCACACATAGTCGTGCTAAGCTTTCTCGCTCCATTATATTCAAACAACGTTGCCAGTCCAAAATCCGCAATCTTCAAATCACCACTGCTTGAGAGTAATATATTCTCGGGCTTGATATCTCGATGTCCCACTCCCTTCGCATGCATATAGCTTACTCCACTAATTAATTGCGTAAAGTAGAAATGTGCAATGTCTTCTTTGATCCCAACATCCGCTTCAATCTTGTCGAATAAGTCCCCTCCTTCTGCATACTCCATAGCTATCCATTTCCATACATCATCCTCGCCTGTAGCAAACCACTCTATGATATTTGAATGCTTCCCAATATGCGAGTGCAAAGACACCTCCATAGCAATTTGCTTCGAAGAAATTCGGCCATGTTTGACAGCATAAGCTTTATGTATGAATTTGACTGCAAACACTGGAGCAGGGTCGGCTGGAGGAATGGCTTTCTTGATTCTGAAGTATTTATTAAGGTTAGTATATACCGGTAAATTATTTTGTGTATGGAAAAGATCTTGAGCTGTTCTTTATTATTAACTTACGATGCATAGGCGCCTCTACCTATTGTTTTAGAGATGATTCGAAAGGGTAGGTCGTGGGGCAGCGGGTCCAATTGTGACATCTGCATTGCCATGACTTAAAGATGCTGAAAACGACTCGGAAGTACTCGTAAAGAATGATATGAACGCGGAAGTTCTTCAAGGCCCCTCACAAAAGTACGATGCTACGTGGATGTCAAATTGACCAAATATTATCAAAGTCTTTTTTTGATCGCGTCTTGGTTTCAATTAGCACTTTAAAGTTCGCGAATCGCGAAAAGTGGTGACTGCTACCTACAACCTAGTTATTGGTCCGCGTTTCTATGGCTACCTACCCTACCACGTAGAAAAGCAAGCCATAATAAACAAATCCAAAACTCCACCCAAATAACCCTTCAACTTTTTCCTATCCATCTCACTTTCAACAAAATTCCGAAATCAATAAATTCCAAAAAATCAAAACTCGAAGAATCCTTTGTCTCGATCTTCCAGAACACTGTTTGCTTCCAAGGCACAATCGCCTTCAGAATTTTTATTTACATTCCCATCAGCTAAACCGCCTTTGTCCGTTTCTGTCGACACTAGTACTAGTATTCGTTGACTTATTCGTTACTTGCTTCCTATTCTATTCTTTTTCAGACATCCATCATGAACTACGCCATGGAGGACACTCAGAATTCCGCTCCTGGAGATGTCCCACCAGCTCAAGCTGCCAAACTTGCTCCTCGCAAAGGTCCCGATGCTCAGAGCACTACCAAACGGTCAGTACACGAATACAGCTCATCGCAAATATCCCATATACTAATCTACCATCCAAACCATAGTCTCCAAACCGAGTTGATGCAATTAATGACCTCTGCGGCACCCGGAATCTCTGCATTTCCCTCCGCAGACGGTAATCTTCTTTCCTGGACCGCGACCATCGACGGACCAGACGATACTCCATACGCTTCCAAGCAATTCAAATTATCCTTTGCCTTCCCATCCAACTACCCCTATGCACCACCAACCGTGCTCTTCAAGACACCTATCTATCACCCTAATGTTGATTTCTCGGGCCGGATTTGCTTGGATATCTTGAAGGATAAATGGACCGCTGCTTATAATATCCAGACTGTTTTGTTGAGCTTGCAGAGTCTTTTGGGGGAACCAAATAAGTACGTTTATTCCTATTGGTATTGGTGATTAAGTAGAGGGTACTAATACATGGCAATAGTGCATCACCATTGAACGGGGAGGCTGCAGAGCTATGGGAGAAGAGCCCCGAGGAGTTCCAAAAGAAGGTCAATGGCCGTCACCAGGACATTGATGACGAATGAGTTTCTGAGGAAGGAGGAGTGTGAGATTCGTCATTCAGATACCCGGCGTCAATATGTTTATGAATTGGAGATTGTGCATAATGGACAGCTGACTATGTCTCGACTCGAGCATTGGGTTATTGCAGCATTCTCAGGATAGTACAGGGAGGGCGTGGTCCTAGGACTATGGAGGCTGTATCCTTATTTGGTACTTCAATCAACACAAACGCATTGTTAAATATGTTTGAAATCTAGGTCATATGCATGACGTGGGACTCAACTACTGTGACCTATTTTCAAGTGATGATGCTTTGGCGGGGGTCGATCTCCATCATTGTCTTCTTACCCTCGATAGTAAACTCACTCTTGAAGCGGGGTATTGATGATTTGGTTTCTATGTACGCAACGTATTTCCGAGGATTTCCGAGTTGGCTAGATAATGCTAGAGTTTGCGTGTGAAGTACATTCGCTGTGCATTGCGCATGCTCAAGGGACATGGTATGGAACAATCAGATATTTTTGCAAGAAAGTCCGGCAATGTTATATCAAGATTTGAAATTCCTATGCTCAATGAAATGTAGGAGCTGCGAAGCTTGCAGAGATTATGTCGAGGGGTGTCTGATGCATCACTTGCTTTCATGATTCGATAGCCCAAAAGTAGCCTCACAACATTTCCGCTGCGATTTTGGGCTGCCTGGGGAAGCGTTACTTCCCAATTCTTTGAAAAAGAACCCGCTTGCCTTTTCCAGCCTCATAGCACAGACCAATATCACAAGTGCATGAAAACATTTCCCACAGCAACTGCATGCATTTAGGTATCGAAAGTTAGACCTTTTCATTTTCCGCTACCTTAGCAAGCAGAAATGCAGCAACTCCAGAAGTATCCCCATGCCATATAAGATTTTGATCATTTATGCATCCTCAACAACAACGGTGTGGAGTCCCTTAGGGTTCTGGACATTGACGGCCTGGACGTAACTGTACAACTTCTCCTTGGCACCCTCCTCATCGTTACGCTTTCTCGAGATTCGTACGCGGAGTCTGAATGGAACACCCTTGATACCAGCTTCCCAGACCTTCTTGTTCAATTGGGGATCGAGACGAACATCGGTGGTACCCTATGAATTAAAAAAATACCAATATCAGTATTGTTCTCCTTGGTATAATTTCCCGTTCGATCCTTCTAGATAGATATCCATACCATTGACAAAGTAGCGAATGCCTTAATCTCCTTAATGGCCTTTGGGGCACGCTTCTTGAAAGAAACACCATGTAACTAAACGTAACAATCAGTCCTTCTCCTTTTTCGAATCCCGGTTTTCGCAATTTCGACATACTCTCTTGTGCAAGTGGATGGTGTACTCGCGCGCAACGACATCAGCGATGGCGGATCTTTGAGTCTTGCCAGCGGGCTTCTTGGTGGTCGTCGACATTTCTGATTTATTGGTTAGAATTTGAAAATTTCGGGTTTGATCTTCGATTAATTCGGCAAGGAGGTATATCAACGTACTGGAAGATTTGTCGCGATTTGTCGTGATAAGTTGTCTTGTCTGAGCTTGAGCAGCAAAATCTGAGGAATTTCGAAATGTGTGGAAAACAGGCGCTAGTTAGCCGAAAATTTCGAACTCCATGTTATTTATTGATGCCTTAACATTGATTAGATAATAAGGCTACAATACAAACACGCTTGCCGCAGCGCATAGCAAGTTCACTAGTAAAACGGTACTGCAGCACGTCGGCAGATTAGAGCGACGCCGATAACCTTTATGACTTCAACTTCTATTCTAAGTGTCACAACACACTTCAATCTGCTACTCTGAATTCAAAGTTTCTATCACGTCCTATTCACTTTCTTTTAGTTCACTCCAACTTTTGACACTCTCTCCGATCTTTCTATTTCATTACCACAACAACAAACTTCATAACAAACTTCATAACAAACTGCGACAACAATTGAAAACTCCTTGCAGCATCAAGATCAATAGTTCGAGTAATCCCTTCTAAAACTTCACCTTCCTTACCTTTCAACCAACTTGGCTCTTGTCTTCTTGCTTTCGACATGGCAGGCATATCCTCCTCCCCTCAACCCGATCTTAATCGGAACCGGCTTCCTACACTGTTTGAGGTACTCAGTAGAAGGACTTTACCCCCAGTCGATCTGTTCTCCTTCTATATTTATATGAGAGACCAGCAGCGCTCTGTGGACTATCTTGATTTTTGGTGTGTCTTCCTTGCATCATATTGCTGAATCTAATCACTAATTGAATGGAAGGCTCGATGTTGCTCAACATATGTCGTTATGTCGGCACTATGTACGAGAATTGCGAAGATCTGTAATGATTGGCACACCCAAAGGCGAAGACTCACAATCTAAACGATCTTCTGCTGTCCTAGAAAATCTTGGGGAAATGAATCATCCAGCTGCTGGACCATCTATGTTCAATACAGAAAAGGAGAAAAACCAAGATGCTCAAATGTCGGCCTTCCTTAGAGACCAATCCGATACTGGAGATGTTATTGCGGCCAAAGGACACTCTCCTTCTCACAGTCTAGGCTCCAATGCCTCTGGTCACAATATCGGGACGATGTCTAGCGAAAGACCAAGACCTAGCTTTATGAGTAGTCCATTGGAATTGACGTCAGACTCAAACTCTCCAGCACATACTGTCGCAAGAGCCGACATTCGGGCCTCTGCCGAGAAGATTCTCTATACGTTTCTCCTCCCAGGTGCTGAGCGTGAGATCATCCTCCCACATGCCATCACACAAGACATCACCATTTCTATTGAAGAAAGAGGACGTGACGATCCAGAAGTATTTGATGCAGCTAAGGACTATGTCTTTCAAGCAATGGAACGAGATGCTTTCCCAGGCTTCCTTAGAATGAAGGCATTGGGAAACTTAGTTCCTCCTTCCATGATGTTGAGATTGATTATTGGTCTACTTTCCATGTTTGCTGCATTCTGGGTTGGATTCATTTTGATATTCCTCAATTATCCCCACCATACTCGTGTTTGGGTATGTTTAATTCACTCATCTATCCTAAATCTTGTTCTTTCGATACTAATGTACTCCCAGCTCATCATCCCGTTTACAATCGGTGTCTATGCACTCTGCTCTCACCAGTATGCTCTTGATCCTATTATTGCCCTGGTCGGATACAGTGAATACACATTCATGTCCTTTTCTAAGATCAGGGAACCCTTTGTCCGAAAGCTTCTCAACCGACGTGCCCTTGTGGTCCTCTTGGTTACAGCTATAGCCGATGCAGCATTAGTCTTATTATTTGCCTTGGTGCCTGGAAAGAGATTGTAGATATGAAAATGGATAGATGAAGGCTAGACAAAACAGTACAACAGCTGCAAAGATACCCATAAACACATCATGGATTAGGGACGGAATGATAGGAATTTGGGACTAATGTTTATAAGAGCGAGGTGTTCTGGGGCCAAATTTTCTCTTTCATATGAAGTGATTTGGGACTTTGTACACAGGGTTGGGTGGGCACGAAGATATCACAGGTTGATTTGATGGCGTTGAGTTGACTGACTGAGTTTACATTTTTGGAGGAAATTTCTTAGTTTTTTTTTCTAAATTTTTCTCGGATGTCTTTCTACAAACAGAAAGGAGGACTTGAGATCCCGATGATGACATCTTCTCTTTTATTTTCCTTTACTTAGGTGTTTGTATGAATGGAAGCTAATAGCGTGCGACTTTGATATCCTCTTCCTTCTTCATACACTTAATGTATGACTATCTTCATATAAAAACTCGACTAAACCTGATGGAATCTTTATGTGAGATGTATTACTTTTTTCCTTTGCATATCCCGTATTATTGGTCCCTGTTGCCAATTCTCGGAAGATATTGAGAGGTGCATCCCCCAACTCCCCCTTACAAGTGGAATCATTGGTTGATATCCATGCCGATATTTCCAATGGCATCTGTGCTATGGTCTAGTGAGCCAAGGTCTGCTGGGCTAAAGAATTGGTCAGTGAAAAGGCCCACTGGTCACAAACATAGACTGTGACAGCAGAACAACTCACTTCCCAAATCCCAGTCCACCAAAGCCCCTCTTCTTCGCACTTCGCGTATCCTTGATCTGCTGACCACCCATCGTGTCCACATCATCCATTTCCTTATCACCATCCAAATCCTCCAACGAAACACCTGCATTGCGTTTTCCAGATGATCTCGTCATTCTGCCCGTAAAACTGTGTAAAGTTCCCATGATGCCAGTCGATGCAGGGCCACTCGCTCCAGGGCCAGTCAATGCAGGAAGGTTTTCGGCATGAGGTCGGGTTACGAGAAGGGATTCGACGTGGGTGTTCCAGTCTTGTTCGTCTCGGTGACGGCGTTGGGCTTCGGCTTTGATAGAGGCAATTTGCGATTCGAGGGAGGAGAGGGTACTGGTGCAGCGGGCGGACCAAGCGGAGAGCGTCGAGAGCATGGATGGGATTGTAGAGGGGGGAAGATCGCGGAGGGGCGAGACGGAGGATACGAGTACGGTTTGGTTGTAGGGGTCCAAAGTACAGTTTATGAGGCCGGCGTATATGGCACTGATGACGAGGTCCTCGAGATCGCGAGTCGTGGAGAGGGAGAGGGCGGATTGCAGCTTGGGGTATGTAAGATCGGAGGGATTTTTGGCTAGGGTGAGGAAGGACAGTTGGCGGAGTTTGAGGGTTTGGGCTGGGGAGAGGGTGGGAAGAGAGGGGTCGCTGGTGTAGTCGGTGAAAGTGCCATAGCTGAAGATTTTGAGGAGGGAAAGATAGGCTGCTTGCTCTGACGTGGCGTTGGAGAGGGCTTGAATTTGGGGAGTGAGGAGAAGTTCGGTGAATATGTAGGTTCCTGGTGCTGCGGTCGCGCGAGTGATGAGATCGATGGCGGCGCTGGGTGAGGTTGCAGATTTAGTGAGAGCTAGGAAGGGCTATATAAAGTTAGTATATTAATCTACAATATTTGGTGTTATATTGTAAGATCAGTAAGTACCTCCAAAGCATTCAGAGCTTTTATTTGCTCCATTTTGCAAGTCTTATATTGAATAGGATAGCTTGCTGCCTATTGAAAAGCTTCAAATACTCCAGATTCAACAAATGGCTAGATCTGACTTTTTAAAAAAGACAGATTATAATCCCAAGAATCGAATTGTTGTGTTCTGGTAGGTATAGGAAAATTTGTCCACGGATCAAATGTGAGATAGATATTGTTGTGGAGTGGGAAATCATCATGGAGATGTATCGTTTGCTATCTAATCGGGATTATCCGAGCTCTGGGCGCTAGTGCGTTTAAGGCATAAACCCACTTCTAGTGTAAGTAGGTAACTAACGACGGCAAACGACAACATCTAATCAAAATCAAAATCATATTGTAAGGCCAGACCAGCTTCACTTGTAAAACGTTTCAACATCCGCACTCACTGATGAAGCTTTAGATATGAAAAGTATGATTGAACAATTCTCTCTCCCCTCTTGTAGGGCTAGAGATTCCAGTTTCGAGCTCAATTCAATAGGCGAGGGCATCTAGGTGTTGATGAAGTTAAGGTAGGTGATAATACATACCTACTACCCAGTATGTGAGTTATCAATAAAGTGAAGGTAAGAATCACTTTAGTGGAAGTCAGGCAAGAAGTCGATGGTGTAGTAGTAAACCATCATGGTGAGCTCCTCTTGTCGGTTTGACTGGTGATGAAGAACCTCCAATTTAAGTTCTGAAGTACTAGGTATGAAATATGAATGAAGTATGAAGGTTAAAGGCTCCTTCCCGTCCTTGTCGTATCATAAAATCGGTCTCTCGCGAGAGATCTCTAGCCATTTGGGATTACTCTTGTAGTTGGTTAGGTGACTTCTCACATGATGAACACTACCTAGTACTCTCTTCACCTCTCTCCCATTTGTAACTGTTCATCTTGTCTTTCCACTATCGTCTCATCGTCTCTTCATCAAATATTTCTACCGGTATTAGCCGCCGGAGGTACCAAGTGACCAACCAAGGCAGGCAAAAATATCAGTAACGAATTAGAGTAGAGGAGTTTAATTGATAGTGAAGCTTTTTGAAATCGAAAGTCTTTCTTCACTTCATTTGGCTTATAAAAAAAAATGATTTGTTCATGTTGGCGGACCGATCGCGTAAGTGGAAAATAACTAAAATATCAACATCAACATCAACGTCACGACAACCACCAACCAACAACAACCTACCACCCAACCAACTTCTTTGAGGGAAGATTTATATGCAACGACCAACTATATTCAATCTTTTATTGCAAGATCTTTCATCTCATCTTCTCATCTTGTCATCTTCTTGATCCGACTACAAACTTAGGAATACAAAGTATTTTACTTTAATAACACTACGCGCAATTTCGAGGATACGATCAATTGTACAACACGGCTTCTTTCTGTTAAATATCGACGATCATGGTTTGCCTTCTCTATTAATCTGCCTTTTCTCGAACAAGTGAAAAATTGTTTTTTCTCCTTCGCTCACTAGAAGTGTATTACTATTCGGCCACACATCAATGTACCATCACCACGCGAAATAATTTCAAAATCAAGCACCACATTTCTTCGCAATTGATGCCTGTCAGTTGACAGTTTGTTCCCACGCCATGTCTCATCCTGTGGTTGGTTTTGCAGATCCGCCAAATTCTAAAAAGCCATCCAAAAATCCTTATCGCCAACAACCAGACTTGTCTGACGATCCAAAATCCAGATCAACCTCTCAAGAAATCGAGTTCCCTTCTTCGTCCAGCAAGCCAACACCAGTTAGGGCAGTGTTTCATGATCTGCACACTGCACACTCCTCAATTACATCCGGAAATAAGAAAACTTTAAGCGGAAGACGTGCAATTTCACATAACCTCTTTGTGCCTCCCGAAAGATCCGATTCAGTTCCACTTCAGAAGATAGAGAGAAATCGCGGTGCCACCGTCGAGTCATTTCTTCAAAACATTCCACTTCCTCCACCTCCTGCTGCTTTATTCCAAGGACGTTATGGGTCTGATACCGAGAATTCAACTCCGGTTCCTCGCTCAAGATCACAACGTCTCCCATCAACCGTCAAGGGTGAGCCTGGATCTCTACTTGCCAACATAAAGACTGCTTTTGCAACCATAACATCACCCATCACACCAGACACAAAAGATGACGAAGAAATCGCTTCGCATTGGCCTCGAGAAAACCTCAACCTACCGAAAGGAACTTTTGGAAAGAAAGCTCCAGGATATATGGAACTTCTCAAGGAGAAGGATGAAGTAGGCCCATCTACACCAGAAGCACGACTGTCAGGTCGAGGTGAAAATGGTGGAGACAGGTCAAGTATTCCATATCAAGGAAATGACTTTTCTATTTACCATTCCAACCTTGGCGATGCACCATCAGGCTCCCTACCACCAAGTAGCCATGAAGGCGGCAGTCCAGGAGATCTTACTCGTACGAATCCTCATAATCCAGCACGGCATTCTCTGTATACACCATATCAAGGAGAAACACAGTCACCGATACGTAAAAGCTCTTCCGAGACAACTCCTCAAAGGCACAGCTATGATATCAAACGAGCTACCAGCACGGTTGGCAATATATATAAGCATTACCTTCACTCTAGTGGAGGAAGAGCTTTCGACTCTGATAGCGAAGAAGAGGCCAACGAGGAAAGTCCTCTTCGAGGAGATATTGCTGCTAAGAATCCCAACCATCGAAATCTCATTGAGGAATTTAACCTACACACAAGACTGAAATCTGGAGAAATGTTACCTTCCGCTCTGAACATTAAAAAGCAACGAAACGTAGCAAGAATGGCAGAAGAGTCTCATGGTCAGCCACCGACCCGTACTTTACCTGACATACCAATCCTCGCCGTCCCAACAATCACTCAAAGTGTATCTCAAGGAACTGGCCAATCATCTTCCTATGGTGATACACACAAGCTACTCAATCTTACTCAAACAACCAAAGCTGGATCTAGAAAAGCTTTGGAGCAGAGGACTAATGATGTGCTTTCCGACGGTGATGATTCCGAGGTAGAGATTGCCACACAAATACACGTGCCTCCATTCCCGTTTGCCACACCCAACGTTCAGTCCACGCCAAAAGTCGTGATCTCTCCAGCCGATGATCCTTCAGTATATGGGGATGATCCTCACTGGACAGACCCAGTTATCCTTCGACAGCCATTAGAAAGAGAAGTCAGCAAAGCCCTCCGCCGTGCCAGTGGTTACAGTGTCTATAGCATGGAGAGTGTCTCGACGTCTTTTACAGGTCAAAATGAAATTCCCCGACCCCCAAGACCTGGACTGAATTTCTCAAGGAAGCTCAATGTCGAGGATACACCTCCATCAGACTCCGGGAGCCTCAATACCGAGCAAAGAGAGTTTGTAGCTCAGGCGCAGGCTTTCTATGATCGTGGAGCAATTGCACCAAATTGGGTTACTGCTCAACATCAAAACGTTGTCCGTATTCCAATCAGTCACAGCATTAATCTTCCCGATTCTCCTCCAGAATCCCCTTATGATCGACCTCTTGAATCGTCTGAGAAACACACCACGCCCACCGAGGCTGAAGATTGGGAGACTGTGGCAGAGAGTGCCGCGGGAGCTTTCGGACGTGCCAGGCACAACGAACCAGGAATGATGATGGGGGGTCTTGTTAACAGAGCAGGAAGCAGCATTGCAGATAATTCAGATGATGGTACAGAGAGTACGGAACCTCTACATATAGATGAATATGGATCTTCGGAGCGTATTGCACAGCACCCAGGCAATATTGAGTACTATGGGGACTATCGTCAAAGAGATCTCAAGAAGACTCACATTCCCGTATTTCTGCCTGTCTTCAGAGAGCACAAGGTCAATGGTTACCTTGCAGATTCAAACAGGACCCGGCCACCCCAAAACAACTACAACTATAATCCACAACCTCTCGGCAAAGCTCATACCAATCCTTTCAAATCCCCCCCGCCAAAAATGAAACCATCTCGTGGTCGAAATCTTAATTTGTTCCCACCATCCCTTCATACAAGTGAAGAAAGTGCAGACTTCACAAATTCAAATCAAGGTCGGCAAGTTTCTTCTGAGAATCCGGGACACGTGGATGATCGTTTAAGATTTGACTGGACTAGTGATTTGGGCCAGCCGGGATTGGCATTGGGTGGTTCTAATGATGATATCCCACCATTGAATAAGAAACGTTCTAGTTCGTGGCAATATGTGTTAGCTCTTGGGGAGAAACTGGCTAGCCCAAAGAAAGACCCGGCCACAACAACATCAACGACTTCCAGTAAGCACAAGGAAATCAATATCGAACTGAAGGCCGCCGGTACTTCCAAGTCTCAAGATCACAAACCTTTTATCAAAGGCCCGCCTGGTGCATTTTATAGGGACCTCCACATGAACTCGAAGCATGAACCAAGGCGTGTTAGTTTGATTCAAGCGAATAGACCTGCTAAAATTCCTGCTCGGAACAATAGTACAAAGGATTATCCAACAAATGCCCTTCGACCTCTCGCGCTGTTGGCATCTACCACCAACACACCTTCAACCGTTGAGAATCGTCCGAAGATTGAACAGCCTTCAACGCCCGTTCGAGGTCATAATCGTAAGGGTACTCAAAGTGATAACTCCAATGCTTTTGTTTATCGATCACCTCTCGCTCCTCCCAAGCGCCCAAGCTGGCAAGATTTGTACAGTCCACATCAGTTGCGAGAAATCCGAAGTGCTGCAAGAGCCGATGGTTTCTTCGAATCTCAACCTGTACTCGGTGATAGTCCTCGTGATTCTAAAGGAAATACATGGAAGCATTTATTCGAAAATCCGAAGTTATCTCCTTGGTCTCAAAATCCTGCTCATATCATTACTGAGGCTCGTCGCAAGAGAAGCATCTCAATCATTGTGTTAACCTTGTGTAATCTGTTTCCTCCGATTTTATTATTGTACGCAACTGGTCGAATGGATGGAATCATAGTATGGTGGACCGATGGGGATTTTTCATCTTTTGCACTAAAGCAAAAGAGATATGCATGGTTGCTTTTGGCTTGTTGGATGTGTTTTATTGCTATTGGTCTTGTCGCATTTTTGGTTGTTTTCTTTACAAAGTTACATCAGTGAATGTACTGGTGACAGAGACGTTTTGACCCGGGTGATAATATGAGGAGATGAAATATGGAGAGCTACTATCTCTCGGTATGATGGATGGATATATCGGATGGGTGGATTAAACAATGGCTTGTTATTATACAAGCTCCATAATGGTAGGGGGAAAGAGAGCTCTGGGGTACGGGATCTGGAATCGAGATTCTATCGATGTAATACGATGGAAGATGTCACGAACACATATTCAGATGAATTATGATCATGGAGGTCAAATGATGGGCCGTGGAGATAATTCTGGGAAATGTCGAAAATGTATATAGTATAATGAATGAGTTAAGATAAAATAATCTTAAATGTCTCCCATGGTTCATGGTGCCAAATGATTGGTGGGTTGCTAAGCGAATTCGCTTAGCGAAAAGTCACTATACTGTAAGGCGAATCAGGAGAGGGAGGGGCAGATTTCACACTTCTAAAAGACATTGTATAATACAAAAAGACTGACATGACTACCTACTTGAGGATACCTCAAAATTCAACCTCAAATCTACTTTCTTGAATCTGAAAAAAATAAGGAAGAAAAACATGGAAGTTATAAAGAGAAGGGAAATGAGGTGATGAGATGTGATAAAACTATAACTATAGGTTAGGTTAGGTTATTATCGCTTAGAGCTTAGAGCTTAGGGTTTAGAGCTTGGAGTTTAGAGCTTAGAAGCTTGGAGCTTGGAGCTTGGAGCTTGGAGCTTGGTCTGGTGTATGTATACATGTATACTAGCATTTGAAAAGTATCGGTACCCCTTATCCTTATTATAAACTTCTCGTACTCGGTAGTGTTTGTGTGTTATCTGGATGGTAACATGGGTGAATCTAATGGTTTGTATTATTGTATATAACATTTAGACTTTCTGATGTTGGTTGTGGGTACGAGGTAGTGAAGTGATGAATTTGTGAATTTGTGATAATGTTCTTGGGATTTGCATGGTATGCTTGGCAATACAAACCGTAACGGCACTCTCTCATTGTATAAAAGTGGTTCGGTTCGTGAAGTCGTGAGTCGTGAGTCGTGAGTCGTGATCGTTTTCGGACGCGGTCTCGGACTCGAACTCGGACTCGGACTCGGACGCGGTCTCGATGGGTTGGTGCATATGTTTGTTTGTTTGTTTGTTTATTTGGTTTGTTTGTCTGATTTGTTTGGTTTGTTGATAAGCTTGGGGTGGAATGGGATGGGATGTAGAATCTGTGCTGTATGGTGCAGTGCGGGGATTATGGTTGTGGGTGTGTGATATTGGTGGGTGGGATGGGTTGTTTCGGGGTAGCACAGGGCTTTGAGCTGCGATGACAGAGGTGGCAGAGGTGGCAGACCTTAAAGGTATGCGAGAAAATGACGGAAGATGCGTGATGGTAGAGGTTGCAGGTGCTCTGGGTGGGTGTTGAAGAGGTGTATCGTTGGAAGTTGAAGTTATGCGGTACATTGGTGGAGAAATCATACTGGCAGAGATCGAAAACCTGCTGGAAAATTACTTGAAGAAATATGATGCTAGAGATTGGAGGTGTTCTGGGTGGATGTTGAAGAGCCGTGATGTTAGAGATTGGAGGTACTGTATTCTGGGTGGAATCGTGGATGTAGAAGAGGTATATTGCTAGAAGTTGAAGTTATGCGGGGAAAGGGTGGAGGAGTTATGGCGGTAGAGGTTGAAGACATGCAAGGTGGATGCGGAAAAGTCATGATAATAGTCCATTGACAGGCAAGAAAAGGCTTTCGTGAATTTTTCAAACAAGAGATCGCTTCGCAAAAGAAAGTAGAAAGAATTAGACCAGAGCCTAATACGGTACAGTAACTATTTATTGATCATGGCTGTCAATTATATCTCTTACCATATCCATCATCTTACAGGGTGAAATGATCGAATACCAATCAAATACCCTTTCCCTTTCACACTTTAGATAGACCTATACCAGTTTGAAGTAGAACTGCACCAACCGACATTTCATTGCTGATATTACAAGTGACCAGATAAGTAACGGAATACTGAGTGTAATTGACAAAAGACTAAGAACTCTCAGGATGTGCAGTTTCGTATTAGACTAGCCTTAAGCTACGTGAAAGTCTCCTATCATACTTCAACCCACGATACTCAAGCGCATAATTCTTTTGGTAGCTTCTCAGGTCTAGAGTGTTTGCCCGACACTCTCTAAGTCCACCTCCACCTCGATCTCCACCTCCACCTTCACCCCCCACTCTATTTGTATCTCTATCTCCACGCTCCGAACTACTTTGATCATCACCCCAATCTTTATCTGGACACATAGAATCTGTAGAAAGTGAGTTGATTGCTCGAACCTAAAATATGGGCACAAACCAGAAAAGCTATTCTCTTCAATGGAGGGTCCAACTGTGAATTGAACCTTTCTCTTCTGGCATGTGGCGAGCTGTTTGATCATGAAAGTGGTTTGTGAAGAGCTCTAGTAAGTAATGTGAGCCTTTTGTTAACCCGGACAACCCACACAATCTTTAGTACCTCCATAAACAATCTTATATTGGCTGACATGATGTTGATTTCTTTCTTAATTTCTCGATACGATTGTGGTAAAACTGATGATCACAAAGACTAGCAAGACTCTTTGGAACTTGGAGTGACACTACTCTTATAATATACGAGGTCCGTAAAGCGTTGAGCTCATGAAGTCAAGAAGAGTTTGTCACTGTTTGTGTTGATCTCATCACTCAATAGTTTCACATCAATATATGCTTGTATCCGTCTCAATTGTAAATGTCATGCCCCTCTTGTTCGCCATTGGTGAAGACCTGCGCCTCTGGTGGGACGATACATGAAGAGCCAGGGGACTTTCATGATACTGAGAGGTTATCCTAGGCTGGAGGTATTAGTGCTCAGTCATTCCAGGTCTTCAAGGTGTGTAAATATTAAATTCCAAGTTAAGTGTAAGGAACGGAACTGGTTGTACGCACAAAAATAACGGCATACACAATACCAAACGATGAGATATTTTTCCTCACTGGCGTACTGTCTGACCCCCTTCTTTGTACTTGTCTTTCCTGTAGGAAGTTCAATCAGATGATTCCAACCCTCGGAAAGTGTTACTTACCACTGAATCGTTTGACCCCCACCTCATATGCTCTTCTCCTATAGGGGTTGCAGATACGTTCATCAATTGCTTCTCAAATGGCTTGTCCTTGGCAGACTGTCGGTGGATTGAAAAGTCTCGAGTTTTGTAAGGTCCGGGTCCTTGTACTTCTTCGGTGAGAAATTACATCCATTGGTTCTCCGGTGGTTCCAAAAGGATGCTTTCATAAAATAATGCTGAGAGACTTCCCAAAGCAAAAAAGCCACAAGGGGGGTTGGTTCTATACTTGATTCACAAAACAACCCTTTAACAGCCCATTATCTATTGTTAGATTCATCTAATTTATTCTTATTCATACACATTTGCTGCGAGTTACTTTTACTTCACTGGTCCTATTTCATACAACGATAGAGACTGGAGCATATGCAGGTGGTCGGGTGGTATGTAGTCCGTATAGAAACTACAGGGCTGCTAAGCAGCTTTTGTCTGTTGTAAAAAGGTGATGTCAAATGAAGACTAGCTTTGTACTCGAGTATGGACTCGGACCCATACTACCCCACATATCATTTGTTCATCCCCTTTTACAAGGATATGTAAGCTGTATTTAGATTTCGCTTAAACCCTGGTAAATGCTACATATATCATAATTCCAATTAAATATGATATTGCATTCTGAGCATGCACCTCAATTCCATTTGGATGACAACTCTAAGATTTCCTGATTGATTATTTTCAAGTACAACCCATGTCATCAATGCATCCTCAAATTAATACTACAATAAACGGCTGACCACAGCCAGTAGCCAACCAGTCATATATAGCCCATGATAAGCCATGCATACATTCCTCTTTCTTCAATCTCTCACTAGATTGCAGATCCTTCTTTCTAGATAGATCAGCTTTTTGTTTTACAAGCTTGGGGAGGTGACATGCCTTGAAATGGATGGAGTACAATAAATTTGGTACAGACACCCTTCTTTTGAGTTGTCCATTCAGACCTTTGTTTGATACCATTAAGTGTTAGAGCCCTGTTTTGATTCTAGAAAACTCACTGCAGTTGTAACATTTCTTCATGATTGTCTCACTGGGACTGTCAAAGAATTTGTTAGAGACAAAATTAGTAAGAGTTGACGGGTTGATTGTTACTCAAATAACCAAGAAATGTTAGTCTTGCATGTTTTTCTTGAATGTGTCTTCTCATATATTATGCACCATGTTTGTGCTTGTATGTGAAAATGTCCGCAACATCGACGACGAGCAAGAAACTCGCACATTGTTGTAGAATCCAGATGGAAAAGTTTTGATCCTTTCAGCAATTGTGAGAATCTGCTGCATTTAACTGATTCTGATGTCAGATAAATGATCCTTTGTCTGTTTGCTCGAGTACCCCTAGCAAGAATTAAGGACTGACAGCATCACTAACAGCGGGAACCAGCATATGCACTTTGATCTAGTGAGATCTAATGGCCAATGGATCAAGCACTTTTTTTCTCTTGCACAGTTAAAATATGGAGCCAAGAATTCATATCTAAACACCCTTTGCTTTTCCCCCACCTACCACTACCAAGGCTTTATGGAAACAAATAAGACATTATCCTACTGATTGATGTCTCCCCACTCAGGATCTTTTGCTTCCTGCACAACATCACACAAGGAACTTGGATCTTACTTTTAAATTTTGCTAACCTACTCGAGTATAGTAACAGGAATCTTCCTAAATCCGTAACCACTCCTTCGAAACTTTTTAACTGTTCCTACACCCTCAGCTTACCAATACGACTTCGATACCCCCTGTTCAGACTTTCATCGATATGTGACCTGCCTACAGCCCCACCATCAGTACCTAGGCGTTGGTTTCGTGTACTGGTGGACAGTCGAACCTTCTGGACTACTGGAAACTAATACGAAAGGAGTTTCTGGTAGATTCTGTCATTGAACAGATTAACAGAACCATAGTTGGACGACTTCCACTCAGAGTTGGACCCCTCACATGGACAATATGACTCGAGGGATTCTTCCGAAAGAATACTAACCAAACTTTTTCGAGTGTCTGGGAACAGGGAATCTGCACTGAACCATCTCCTGCGAAAGATACTCTCAACCGTACACGGTTTCCTGATCCGATTATGGCATCCTTGGGTTGCAATCGCCATTCAATTGAACACGCCGTTGATGAGATCATTACTGTTGCACAAGTATTTGCGCAGATGCCATCACCGAAGCCCAGGCACACAACAGGCCCAAGTAAACACTCATTCACTCAGTTTACAATTTCGATGATTGAGAGGAATCCAGCCAACTTTTTTGGACTCCATGGCGGAATTTTTCCATGGTCTTTTCGAGCCCTTTCACAAATTGTACATCGAGACCCAACCTAACGAAGCTTCGTCCATCCTTGCAGAAGGAGTAAGGAAATATTATCTTTTGCCTCGTGTGAAGGCTTGACGGGATGGACTTATGTTTGAGGAACACGGTGTATTGGATATATTGGACCAACTCAATATTGGCAGCAACACCACCTGGTGGCAAGCCAACAGATGATACCACAGAGGTTGTTATCAGCAGTCTCCATAGTATGATCGCCGGCTAATTTTCTAAGCGATTGACTTCTAGGACTACCGTTTCGAAACCATCAGACGAAGACAGCCCTATGACCACATCAAATCATACATTTCCATGTACACCAAGATCTACAGGTCTGACTGCAGCCTCGCCAGAAAAAGAAAGTCCCTGCATCTTTACTGATTATGAGGGAACTTTCAAGTACAAAACAACATTGCGAGAACCATCTCCTACCGTACCTACGTTGTCCGTCGCACACGACTTCGACGAGCGGTTTTTAACAAATGCGGGGAGGATTACACCAAGAACCTTCTTCTTGATCATACTGTTACACCTCAGAAAATACAAGGTGTCTCATATGTAAGGGCCTACACGAATATGGCAAGCCGGGGTCGCATATGAGATGGAAGAGAAGATTGACCACCGAAGAAGTGGACTTTGTGCGATATGCCATGAATGACCCGAAGCTAACCTTCGAACAATTGCAGCTCGTCCCACAATCACTTATCGATCTACAACCCCGAACAGCATTGATTTGGCACTGGGTACTTCCCGATCATATTTGGAAGCGATTCAAAACCAACAGGGTTGGCATGCGATATCCATTATACTACCAAGTTGCTAAAAGCGACTGAGTCTACAGTGTACTTCCTCACCCCCTACCTTCTCTCCTAAGACTTCAAGCATAGATAATAATCCATCACCCAGTATTATCCATATCTATTTAGGTTACACTTCACAAAGTTCAAGGCAGTTGCTTCGTACAAGTGGGTGGTGTAAAATCTTTGAATGAACCCATAATTTGAATGGGTCGCTTTACTCGTGTACACCATTGAATATCTGAATGCAAACTATTTCCAACTTCCAATCATTTTTGATTTTCAATGTTGGTGTATTGGTGAAATGCATGGCAAGGAAGTTTTCTCTCTGCCAGAAAAATGGGCGGAGGACACCAATGTTAGCCGCCATCAATCAGTCAGCGTGAATGACTTGAAAGGCCCAGCATTCCAGGAACTAAGTTGTGCTGTAACATGAGTTGTGTGAAAATTGCCAGGGCATGTTCATACTTTTCGAATTACATGATCTATTCAGTCTACGCCTTATCCCACAATTTAGCACAATCAATTAGACTACTCGTTGGGAAGCGACCCCTGAGACCCCTGAATACACGTGATACACTCCGGGTAACCTCGCAAGCTCAACATCCCCGTACTCCTTCAGGGTTCAATGATAAATCCGATTAGTCTAGTTGCGGGGTAAAGTTGTAAAGTTACACCATTCCCATATATATATACCATTACCATCAGGGCTCTGTTTGCCACCACACCAGGCTGTACAAGATATGAGATATAGAGTGTACTCTGTAACACCGGACCTAAAACTGGATTTGCCTAGTAAATCATCCACTAGTGGTGCACTACTGAATTCTCGTATAGATTGATTGGTATAGTGAGGTTCCACCTAACGGTTCTTCTTCGTTACTACTTTTGATGACCTGAATGCAACAATAAACCCCACCTAACCTCTGTCCATAGTCAGCAGTATTATTTTCCTCATTCAAGTCTTCAGACCTTTTCTATCAACCCATCTTTTACTGAAACGAATCTACAGTACACAGGTATACACGTTTCCTTATATCACATCTGCCAGTATCGGCATCGCTAACTACATTACACCCAGATCAAACGACATATCTCTATCTCAAACCTCAATCTTCTCACAATCACCCCACTATTTAAAATCGATCTTATCTCATCAACCTCATTCCAGAACTTATTGGCAGAGCCGTGCGCATACCTGTTAGTGTTTCTATCACCAATATTTCAGTACAACTGCTGAGAAGGAATTGTTTATCACCAGTGGCCAGCGCATACTGAACCAGAGAACGCTGTAGAATCCAGCTTATCACAATGCCTGACGTGAGGCCGTCTTTCACCAAATACATGTTCTCACACTAATATGAAACGTTCAGGGTAACCAAACGATCAACGGCGATTACGAGAAGATCAGGTGGCAGGTATTCCTCGCGACTGATGAGAATAGACTGATGTCATGGACAGCTGCAGCCGCCTCTGATATCGCCTATGCAGGTATCGGAACAGGAAATAAGGTTTCTACCACTCTAGGAATAAACATATCTCAAGAGGATATCGAGCTTCCTAGAGGGTGGTTTGCGCTTGTATCCAATACAAACTTTAAATTGGTTGCGAAAAACTAAACAAATTGTTTTAAGCCTGAAAGATGGTTCATAATAAATTGACCAGTCTCGAACTCCAACCATATTTCCATCTCATAATCACTGTCATCATCATCATTGCTGCCGAAAGATACATTGACCGCACGATTACCTCCTGAGTTTCCCCGTCTCACTTCGAATTGTCTGCAAACGCTTGCCTCCATACCCTTGAATAGGCACTCACCAAGTAACTTCCTCAAGTCCTCGACTAATCCCATCGTGGCCTGTATAATGTCTTTTCCGGTCAATGAACATACCCATACCTTAATCATGAAGTCCTGGTCTGTATATGGAGCATGCACAATTACAGCGCTGGTAAGTTGCGCGTTGCGTTCTTTATGTCTCATACGGCTCTTCATCGTAGCATCGAAAAGACGTTTTCCCAGAATCATTTCTAGCTTATCCACTGGATGAAAATCTAGCACGCCGATTTTTCCAAACATTGAGAAAGGTTCCATGATAACCTTCTCCTTAGTTCGGGTCACGGTTGGACCAGGAGTGGATGTTGAGTTGACACGCTTTCGTTTTTGAGGCGAGCCGCGCAGCTCCAATTGTATTTCCGAACCCCTCGACCCACCAGGATATCCTGATAAAGAAGTTCCAATTTGCGATAAGTGTGGTGCCAGTGTCGTTGCCGGTATATTCAACAGTGCAGATATTGAGATTGGTTTGACGTTGGAAGTCCTTGATTCGATGGACGAACTGGCAATAGGCCCCTTTAATGTGACATCCCATCGAAATGGATCAAGTGCGGAGTTCAGGATTTGGTTGGCCATGATATCAGCCCCAAGCTGGTTTGATAGCTTCGTAATGCCTTGGTCTTTCAAATGGTTCATTGCTTCATCGAATTCTGCGCCTTTCAAGCAATTTGGATTTTCCCACCTGAATAGTTAGCATGCTGTTTCCAAGTGCACTGAAGATATCGACTTACAGATCATCTGATATCTGTGGAATCAAAAACAAGGCGCCTTTCCCGAGTTGAAGACATATTTTATGATATCTGGACCCGGCAGCGACCCAAGTTTGTAGGTTTAACTTGATTACGCCAGCGTCGTCAGTGATCCTTTCCGATTGCGTGAATGCTTTTAATAGCCGTTGATAGAGAATATCATACAGATTGTTCGTCATAACCTGCTGCCCATGCCCTATCAACAACGCGAGGTTGTAAAAGAAGCAAGCATAGAACCTCCAAAGGATGGCATCCCATACACGTCGAAGATGAAGACTTTGGACCATCAGGTATGCTTGAGTAGCGACGGTCTCCACTGACACTTCGAATTGCGGCAGTGGTTTCAGCTGACTGTCGATGGACAGCCAAAACTGCGACGGATTCTCCCTCCATATTTGAAATTGATTCTGCATGCCAGGTGGTGCAGAAATGTCGCGAAACCCGAGGATTGTTGCAAGGGCTATACTCTTTGCCTTAATCCTTTTGATTCTGGTCTTGCGAAACGCGTCCTGGACTGTGCTTTTCGACTTCGCAGAAAGGGATGTGTAAACACCCTGAAGAAGGTTGGTGAACTGTGAAAAAAGTTACATCTCCCTTTCCTCTTCTGGGATAAGGGAACTACTGACCTCTTCATTTCCCAACAAAGACTCGAGAGTTTGCGCTTCATCATAGCTTTTCAGTTGTTGAATGAAGCTACCCACAGTACGAGACATTTTTGAAAGTAGTGAAGGACTTCTACCATCTTCTGTGGTGTGGTGTGTTAAGACTTCAAATTCCAGTTCTTTTCGCACCGAGTCACGTTTTGATCAAGATCCCAATGTATTTGCTGGCAGGGTAGGATTACAATAATCAGTCTTTCAGCTTTCTTCGCACTAAATACGGGTTAATCAATATCCCAGTCAGGTCTGCCAAAAGGGCTTCGTGCAGGATTGTAACGTTACAATGCATGTTGAACCAGGTTCTAATTCTGATCGCTTCGAGTCGCTAAGACGGGTAACTCGGAAATACGAAGCAAAGTATCTTCTATCCAGCCTATCGACGAATTAATGATGACTCTACTCGAGTACAACAAGATAGATTAATTGGGCTTGGATAAAATCTGATTGCCTGCATATAAAATCCAGATAGTTTGCGAAAATAGTTTAGGGCAGGGTCACAACAAACCTTGGAAGGGAATAATCTTCACTTTCTGACCGGCATGATATATGAACGAGTCAACTCGATTGGTCTCAGGGATGGGGCATTTCAGCACCAGCTCGACATGTGCATGGTACCTTGTCGAATGGTGGTAATACATCATTATGGTATCTAGCCTTCCTGATGTAAGCCGGGCACGAAAGCAACTACCCACAGTGCATACACACCCGCATCAACGATGCTCGGCAAGACTGTCAAGAATCATTCAAAACTATATCCTCGGTTAAATACCAGACGAAGGTGTACTCAGTAGTTATCATAATCCCCGCAAAACTCCAGCCCCAGTTTTCTTCCATCCAACGTCCCACCCCAGCAATCCCACCCCCAACATCGTTGAACATCCACTCCTTGACTCCAGATTCTTATCTCGGCCTCGGGCATGCGTTTTTCCAATACATAGGTCCTTGTTGATACATGGATCCATCAAGCATAGATCCATCAAGCATTGCCTCCAACTCTGCAAAAGCAGAGCCAATGTCCACAAAGTATTCGCGAGTCCATATCTCCACAAACTTTACACCCAATTCCCAAGGTTGCAAGAAGCATCCAAGATATGAGAAATCGCCCGAATCAAGCTCCAGGACAAAGCTAGAGAGAGTTAGTAGATGAATCAGTTACATGTTTTCGAAATTAAGACTGCGACTGACAAATACTTTCCAGAGAGTAACTTTGTTGGAAGTGTAACTGTATAGTATATTATTGTATATACTCTATATTTGTTAGAAGTGTGTGTAGATTATATTCAGGTACAGAATCTAAACTATATTATTGAGTGTATAAATAAACAAGATATACACTAATAATAAATACAAAAGAGAGGCAATATTGTAATACTTATAATATTTATAACTTTCTAATATCCCCCTTATGATCAAAATCTTGATTATTCTAAAATATATGTTACAAAGTAATCTTTTCATATGAAGTTAACCAAATTAACCAAATAAATTGATTAAATTGATCAAATAAATTGATTAAATTAACTACAACTTTCAATCTAATTGTTAAAGTTTTATTAATTTCTGCAACAATCTATAGCCCTGTTATTATTGTGATATCTAATCTTCTGTAGAGTTCGATTATTCTATGATTGAATTTATTATATTGCAGTACAAGAGTATTCTTATTTTTCTTCAAAATCCAAACCTAACCCCAAACTATAAATACAAAATACTGGATAAATAAATTGTTTTATAAATATATTTACTGTTTGTTTTGTTTTTAGAATCTATATTACATATATTCGCTTTGTATCAATTATATTTTCACGAATATAATGTTATCTGATCTGAATATACTTTGTCTTGCTATAAAACTTGTTTTTATTCATTCAACCTATTCTACTTTTATTATCACAATAAAGAATAAGAACAAATAGCTCAATTTCTAGATGTTCCTTTAGATTAGTAACGAGTTTCTTTATTTATACAAATTCTTTGCATCTTTATTGGTTACAATAATCTCTACCTTCATTATACACAGCGATATAAACTTCTATTTTGTAGAAGATTAAACTATAGCTTTTTTATATCTCATAATAATTATTTTCTAAACTGATTTTTTATTGTTTATTGAACCCTATATCAAG